CAGTGAAGGAGTGAAACCTATAGAACCAGTGAAGGGTGAAACCTATAGAATCAGTGAAGGGGTGAAAACTATAGAATCAGTGAAGGGGTGAAACCCATAGAACCAGTGAAGGAGTGAAACCTATAGAATCAGTGAAGGGGTGAAACCTATAGAATCAGTGAAGGGTGAAACCTACAGAATCAGTGAAGTGGTGTAACCTATAGAATCCGTGAAGGGGTGAAACCTAAAAAATCAGTGAAGGGGTGAAACCTATAAAATCAGTGAAGGGTGAAACCTATAGAATCAGTGAATGGGGTGAAACCTATAGAACCAGTGAAGGGTGAAACCTACAGAATCAGTGAAGTGGTGTAACCTATAAAATCAGTGAAGGGTGAAACCTATAGAATCAGTGAATGGGGTGAAACCTATAGAATCAGTGAGGGGGTGAAACCCATAGAATCAGTGAAGGGGTGAAACCTATAGAACCAGTGAAGGAGTGAAACCTATAGAATCAGTGAAGGGGTGAAACCTAAAAAATCAGTGAAGGGGTGAAACCTATAGAATCAGTGAAGGGGTGAAACCGATAGAATCAGTGAAGGGGGGAAACCTATAGAATCAGTGAAGATGTGAAACCTGTAGAATCAGTGAAGGGGTGAAACCTATAGAATCAGTGAATGGGGTGAAACCTACAGAATCAGTGAAGTGGTTTAACCTATAAAATCAGTGAAGGGTGAAACCTATAGAATCAGTGAATGGGGTGAAACCTATAGAATCAGTGAGGGGGTGAAACCCATAGAATCAGTGAAGGGGTGAAACCTATAGAACCAGTGAAGGAGTGAAACCTATAGAATCAGTGAAGGGGTGAAACCTAAAAAATCAGTGAAGGGGTGAAACCTATAGAATCAGTGAAGGGGTGAAACCGATAGAATCAGTGAAGGGGGGAAACCTATAGAATCAGTGAAGATGTGAAACCTGTAGAATCAGTGAAGGGGTGAAACCTATAGAATCAGTGAAGGGGTAAAACCTATAGAATCAGTGAAGGGGGAAACCTATAGAATCAGTGAAGGGGTGAAACCTGTAGAATCAGTGAAGGGTGAAACCTATAGAATCAGTGAAGGGGTGAAACCTATAGAATCAGTGAAGGGGTGAAACCTATAGAATCAGTGAAGGGGTGAAACCTATAGAATCAGTGAAGGGGTAAAACCTATAGAATCAGTGAAGGGGGGAACCTATAGAATCAGTGAAGGGGTGAAACCTATAGAATCAGTGAAGTGGTGTAACCTATAGAATCCGTCAAGGGTTGAAACCTAAAAAAATCAGTGAAGGGGTGAAACCTATATAATCAGTGAAGGGGTGAAACCTATAGAATCAGTGAAGGGGTGAAACCTAAAGAATCAGTGAAGGGGTGAAACCTATAGAATCAGTGAAGGGGTGAAACCTATAGAATCAGTGAAGGGGTGAAACCTATAGAATCAGTGAAGGGGTGAAACCTATAGAATCAGTGAAGGGGTGAAACCTATAGAATCAGTGAAGGGGTGAAACCTAAAGAATCAATGAATGAAGGTCCAGAATGGCGTTGCGTGCCTGTCAGTCCAACAAGTGTATGATTGGAGTAGGAAGTTTGGTTCTTTATTAATATCCTACCCCAGATGAGGTCACAGGACAGTCCAACATTTTAGAGGGTGGTAAGAGTGGGTTTCCCGGCTTTCTGATGCTTTTAACGACCTCAAAACATATAGAACTGGATCTAAGCCCAACCCACCTACATCCCACAAGAGAGAGAGCTGCTGCCTAGGTCCCACGACTGCATGCTGCCGATCTACCACCCCCTGAAATATTAGACTGTCCCGTGACCTGTGGATTTCCCCTGTTTGGGGTAGAATATTAAAAAAGCACCGGGAGTTTCATAACGGTGTGACTTCTGGGTGCCTGACGATGACCGTCACCCTCTAGTTACTGGAGACAGGAAAGTCTGGTTGTTTACCCACTTCTGGACTTTAGTTTTAGAACCGAAGTTTTGCGTGCACATCCGTTTGGAAAAAAAAATCTTGCTTATTTGTATGCAGACTCTTGGTTCCTCGCCTCTCAGACAGAAGCACTCCGACTTTGAAGAAAAGATCCCCAAATAGTCGACTCTTACGACATGTTTATGCTTGCAAAGAATTTGGGCTTACCATCAGTCTGAACAAAACACAAGTGATGGGATTGAATGTTGGAAATCCACCAAACATTAGTGTGTATGACCATCAGCTGCTGGCTGTAAATGAGTTTGAGTACCTAGGCTCACGTATCTCAAGCAATCATTCTCTGGATGCAGAACTAAACAAACGTATAGGAAAGGCCTCTGCTATGTTTGCAAATCTCACAAAGAGAGTCTGGTCAAACAAAAAGCTAACTGATAATACAAAAATGAAGGTTTATGAGTCTTGTGTCCTGAGCACATTACTGTACGGCTGCGAATCCTGGACTCTCTATGCTCCACAGGAAAAAAGACTGAATACCTTCCATATGCGCTGTCTGAGACGCATCCTTGGTATATTATGGCGAGACCTTGTCTCTAACGAATGTGAGCTCACAAGAGCAAAAATACCATCAATGTTTTGTATATTGAAGCAAAGACGTCTTCGCTGGCTGGGACATGTCTCCCGCATGGAGGATGGTCGTATTCCAAAAGATCTCCTATATGGTGAAATAGTAATTGGGAATAGACCTACAGGAAGGCCAAAGCTGCGCTATAAAGATGTATGCAAACGTGACCTAATAGATACCAACATAGGCACAGAGACATGGGAAAAATCAGCTGCAGATCGACTACTATGGAGACAGAAAGTGAAAGATGGACTGTCACATTTTGAAAGAAACCGAACACAACGAGCTGTGGAGAGGAGGCACCGGAGAGTAAAACTGCCTCACAACGAGGGAGTATCTGCTTTTGTGTGTATCCTGTGTGGCAAAGACTGCCATTCCCGCATCGGACTTTACAGTCACAGCAGATGCTGTTCCCAAAGCCAGCGGCAGATCCCCATAGTCCCCCGAGACTGACGGACGCCATTAGTGGGTCTATTCTTTCTTGTTCCCTACACTGTGTTTCCGTAATTCTTTTACTATTTTATTGAGGCTTTTATTTCGTTCTTTCACAGGCTTATTTTATTTATATTATTATTATTATTATTATTATTATTATTATTATTATTATTATTATTATTATTATTATTATTCTGTCCACATTATCTAGTTTGTGACTGGGAAGAATACTGAACAATAATTATTTCGATAATTGTAATTATATTATGCTTTAAAATAGTATAATTATTGCTATTTAATTTATTTCCGCCACACAGCTTTTAAATTTTCGTAAAAGACAGTTTATTAAAAAAAAATGATTATCACAATTGCTAAAAAAAAAAGTATAACTAAAAAATATGAGTTAACCATCCAAGCAATATTAAATAACGGTTATTGCGAAGCTTAATATGAACTAATCAATCAATCAATCAATCAATCTATCAATCAATCAATCAATCAGGTGCCGTCTCCACAATGAAGGTTGGCTACAATGGATCACCAACAAGCCCTGTCTCTTGCCCTTGATGTACACTCACTCATACTGCTGTTCGTCCATCTCTTGATGTTATTCTCCCACTTGTAACGCTGTCTGCCTTTTGCACGCCTACCTTGAACCTTTCCCTCTAGGATGATCCTTACAATACTGTTATGTCTTTTAATGTGGCCAAACTATTTCACTTGTCTCTTTTTTATTTTACCTAGCAACTCTCTTTTCATTCCCAATTTCCTCAGTATCTCTGTATTTGATAGCTTTTGTTTCCATGAAATACGACCTAATCTTCTGTATATCCACAACTTCAAAGAATTGATACGATTTTCCAGTTGTTTGTTCATTGTCCATGTCTCTGTGCCATACAGTAAGGTTGAGAATACATAACATTCGACATTTCTCATTTTTAATGTAATGCTTATTTCTCTTGATGTCAGTAAATTTTGCATGTTGTTGAAAATGTTTTTGGCCATCCTTATTCTTTTCTTGACATCTGTTTCACTTCTGCTGTCACATGTTATTACTTGTCCAAGATATAAGAAATTTTTAACTTGTTCCAATTTCACCCCGTTCACTGTGATATTCATTGTTAGCTGATTATTTTCTTTGCTAAATATCATGGTTTTTGTCTTTTTCAAATTTATATCTAATCCAAATTCTGCACTCCTGTTTACTTGCTCCACTAGGTCTTGCAACTCCTGCTCACTCTCTGCTAGCAACACTGTGTCGTCCGCATATCTCAGATTGTTTATTATTCTACCATTGATGTGCAATATGAACTAACAAGCAACAACAAATACAAAACGGTGTATAGCAGCTGTAACTCAGATGGGCTGAACAACATATAGGTTGTTTAATGACTGCTGTTGCTTCTACTACTACTAGTACTACTACTACTACTAGTACTACTACTACTACTACTACTACTACTACTACTACTACTACTACTACTACTACTACTACTACTACTACTACTACTACTACTACTACTACTACTACTACTACTACTACTACTACTACTACTACTACTACTACTACTACTACTACTAATACTACTATTACTAATACTACTACTACTACTAATACTACTATTACTACTACTTAAACATGTGGTTGGCACGTTGTATTGTGATTTACAGCTAGGTTGCGATCATTGCGCTTTCTGTCTAACTTTTTCCATTTAAGAAAATCCCTAACTAGTCACCTTTGACAAAATAGTTGTCAAGGTGCAGTGGGTCTGTTTCCCCCTGGTGCCACAGAACTAACCTGGTGCCACAGAACTAACCTGGGACAGTGGGTCTGGGTCTATTCTTATTCCTTTCAAAATGGGACCCAGAAACCATACAGGAGTAGGCCTATAAAGATTTTAGTTACAGTTGTAAAATCTGGGAGAACTGAAACAGCGTGAAAACCCGGCCAGCTTCCAGAACATTGTTCTACTTCCGGAAGTCCATGTGCTGCAAACATGTCGGCCATCAAATCTCTCAACCCCAAAGCTGAAGTTGCTCGCGCTTCTCAAGCGCTTGCCGTCAACATTAGCGCCGCCAAAGGCTTACAAGATGTTCTCAGAACTAATCTGGGTCCTAAAGGGACCATGAAAATGTAAGTGGGACGAGTATGTTTTAAAATGTTGGTATCGGCGTAGTTTATGTAAACGCCGGTAATCACCAGGGTTACCACACCGGCGGCTTGCTTGGGTAGACTAAAGACGTAACAAAGTTAAAAGACAAGGTTTATAACTTATAAGCAGTGCATTGTTTCCCTCTAGGACAAAAGTGCAGGTACACACCACTTTCTAAAAAGGTACCTGTACTCGCCACACTAAAATGGGTATAGAGCGAGAAGAACAGCCGGTTCTCCTTGCAATACCGGTCGCTACTTGGACGGCGACGGCCGCTTAATCGGAGTTCAGTTCCCTGGCCGCATTGTAATTACGGAGTGGAGAAGAGGGAACGACACAAATGACGTAATTACTGTGTGTTGGCGATAGATGCACTGCTGTCATAATAGGGTTAGGAGTGGCCGTAGTTTTAAGGAGTACCAATACCCTACCCCTAGCCCTAATTATGTCAAACCCTAACCCTAGCCCTAATTATGTCATTTGTTTTGTTCCCTTTTTTCCACTCCGTAATTGCACTGCAGCCAGGGGACTGAACTCCGATGAAGCGGCCGTCACCGTCCAACTAGCGACCGTTAAGGCAAGGAGAGCCGAACAACCTTACAGAAATAAACGTCAGTCTTAATAGTGCTCTTGATGACAGAGCTCATCAACAAACGTTATGCCCCCCCCCCCCCCCCCGACACTTCGATGAGGTACAAGGTGGAAGAGAAAAAGAACACTACCACAAATTGTCTATTAATATATTACATTAGCAATGAACATATAATATTAAGCCAAAAGAGCAGTCAAAATGAACGCTAGGCAGGGTCACTGAGTCTTGTCTCATTCTTCTGCTTCTGCCAGGTGGTGGCCGTTGCAATTTTGCTGCATTTGTAGACTGAAATTATATAGTTTCATCGCCCAGCTACTGAGTTGAGTGCGTGCAACGTCGGTGATAAACTGCATTTCTAATGTCGTATTGTTTGTGTTAGAACTTCTGTTGGCTACCGTATGCTTTTAATGCCTGTCTATGCTAGTGCATATACTGAGACAGCAGTTTGTCTTTCCACAAGGGACCGTGATAAACATTCTGTGTGTTTTTGTTGGAACAGGAGCGAAGCAACTATGGGGTGACCCATTTGCTATGATGCTGAAAGTAAGATTACCAAGCCTAAAGAAAGGTGCCAATACTGCTGCATGTAGTATAGACTTTTGAGGCTATCCTCCGAATAACGGTCCTAAATTGAGGCGGAAAATATATGTTAGGGTATATTTTCGGCCTCGATAATTTAGGACTATTATTCGGAAGATCGCCATAATTTTAACATATAATAATCATATAGATTAGCACTCGTAACTAAACTGCCTGTAATAATGAATGCACGGTAAGCTAAGTGTATGGAACTAAGGTTAAACTGAAGGCAGAATAGGCATGGGAGTTGTAACGCATGACAGTATCAAGTGTAACTAGCAAGACCCAATTGCTTTAAAAAGAATCTTTCACAATAAACATATGGGATTTTAGGATCATGGTTGCCACGTATTGGACATTTTTTTCTGATACTCAGATCTGAACTCCTTTCAGCCCCCGGACACGTTTTTTAAACTCTTTTCCTAAGCATGAGTTGCTTAAAGTAATATAAATGCTTGGAGCAGGAGTTGCCTAAAGTAATATATAATGCTTGGCTATTTAATTTGGTCCTAGTAATGACAATGGGACAAAAAAAGCTGAGGTAACACTTTGAATATAACAAGTTTGAAAGGTGCGGATAGGTGATCTACAAGGATTTTAGAAAAGCAGAGAATGCTAGGCAGCCCCAGTAAATGCATAGTGCATTGCTAGGTAATAAAAAAGGTAATGTCTGAAATCCGTGTGTCCCTTATCCATAATTTCTGCCTGCATGCATTGAGATCCTTGGCACTCAGTTACCAAACAGTAGAAATAGTCTGTCTGTATATCATATCTTTGTTTTACTTTTCCCACACGTCTTCTTCTTCTTTGCATTCACCGGCTGTAACTCCAGCAGAAAGTTCTTGTTGCTCGTCCACCTCTGGACTTTGGTCTTGTTCCAGAACCTGAGTGTGGCATGTACATCTGTTTTACACTAATTTACAGATCTTACTTATTTGTATACAGATTGTTGATTCCTTGCCACTAAGGCAATTGCACTCCAACTTTGAAATTGAAGTTGACTCTTACCACATGATTGTTGGGAGGCAATGGGTCTTTCTTGTTTTCCCTACATTGGGGGCCTGGAACCCACACAAGGACTCTAGAAGTCATTCACATTGTCAGTGTCCTTTTTTTGGCTATCCTCTGAATAACGGTCCCAGATTATCAAAGCCGAAAATATACTCAGTCACATGTAAATTGCGAACCTCTTCCGGTGACTACACAGCATACAGCCGAGAGTTTTTGCGCCGCTACGCGAGGCGTGGAGCTGGGACTCACGAGCAAATAAAAAGGAGGGAGATGCGGTAGATGCTTCTCGTGAGTCCCAGCCATCGGGTTTAGCCCCGCATCTAGTAGCGCAGGAGATACTCTCGGCAGTGACTCTGGCAGAAGCTTTTCGCGGTATGCTATGTAGTCGCCAGAATAGGTCCGCAATTTACATAATTTGGGACTGTTATTCGGAGGATAGCTGTATTTTTTACCCTTTGAATCTGTTATACATATTAATTTAACTACAGATAAAGAACCCTTGGTGTACATTAAAACCCTGGACTTTCAGTCCAGTTGGTGACATATTTTTATGAGAGTGATTTTTGCAACAAATTGCTTCTTTTTCCCCTCCATTTTCCACATGTCAGTTATTGTGTTCACTTGGGAGATTTCTTTCAGAAGTCGGTCACTCCTAGTTTCCTCAAGAGATTCTTTTGTATTCACCCTCAAAAACATGGTTAGCTAATTGTGTTGTGGTTTATTTGGCTATGCTGAATGTCTGTGCTTTTGACCCAACACATTCGATTTCAGCACACCCATAATTAATCACCTTTTATGACATGTTTTTTTATTGGGGAGGGGGGATCTCTTTTTCTATCAGAATTGGGTCACGGCCGACACGTGAAGCTTTAGGAGATGATAGTTACTAATTTTGTTTTTACAATAAAATTAATGTAATCAGTAAAATATATGTTTGTTGTGATTACTGTAGGTTAGTATCTGGTTCTGGAGATATCAAGCTAACCAAGGATGGCAATGTTCTGCTGCATGAGATGGTAAGTAGGTGGGGGGTTGGTGCATGTGATGATAGTTAGGTAAAAGGGATTGGTGCATGTGATGATAGTTAGGTAAAGGGGATTGGTGCATGTGATGATAGTTAGGTAAAGGGGATTGGTGCATGTGATGATAGTTAGATAAAAGGGATTGGTGCATGTGATGATAGTTAGGTAAAAAGGATTGGTGCATGTGATGATAGTTAGGTAAAAGGGATTGGTGCATGTGATGATAGTTAGGTAAAGGGGATTGGTGCATGTAATGATAGTTAGGTAAAGGGGATTGGTGCATGTGATGATAGTTAGATAAAAGGGATTGGTGCATGTGATGATAGTTAGGTAAAAGGGATTGGTGCATGTAATGATAGTTAGGTAAAGGGGATTGGTGCATGTGATGATAGTTAGGTAAAAGGGATTGGTGCATGTGATGATAGTTAGGGTAAAAGGGATTGGTGCATGTGATGATAGTTAGGTAAAGGGGATTGGTGCATGTGATGATAGTTAGGTAAAGGGGATTGGTGCATGTGATGATAGTTAGGTAAAAGGGATTGGTGCATGTGATGATAGTTAGGTAAAAGGGATTGGTGCATGTGATGATAGTTAGGTAAAAGGGATTGGTGCATGTGATGATAGTTAGGTAAAAGGGATTGGTGCATGTGATGATAGTTGGGTAAAAGGGATTGGTGCATGGGATGATAGTTAGGTAAAAGGGATTGGTGCATGTGATGATAGTTAGGTAAAAGTGATTGGTGCATGTGATGATAGTTAGGTAAAGGGGATTGGTGCATGTGATGATAGTAAGGTAAAAGGGATTGGTGCATGTGATGATAGTTAGGTAAAAGGGATTGGTGCATGTGATGATAGTTAGGTAAAAGGGATTGGTGCATGTGATGATAGTTAGGTAAAAGGGATTGGTGCATGTGATGATAGTTAGGTAAAAGGGATTGGTGCATGTGATGATAGTTAGGTAAAAGTGATTGGTGCATGTGATGATAGTTAGGTAAAAGGGATTGGTGCATGTGATAATAGTTAGGTAAAGGGGATTGGTGCATGTGATAGTTGAGTAGAGTGAGCATTGCTGTATGAGATTTGTTGAAGAGAGTGGAGGAGAGGCATGTAATAATAGACTGTTGTTGGGTGAGATCAGTTGTAGAGGTGGAAGTTAGCATTGTTGGATGAAGTGGAGTAAGAAATGAATGCTTTTGTGAGAAGTGATAGGTTGATGCTGGACTGAAAATATAGACATGAATAGTTTGTGCAAGCTGTCTGCCAGTTAACAAAGAAAACATTTTGCAGCTTCAGTTACAGCGAGATGGAGTAAAGTGGTTTGGCCATCTAGTAAGAATGCAGCCAGACCAATATATAGTTTTCTGGGTGTGACAGAAGCCTAAGAAAAAGAATAAAAACAGCAACGCTGTAGCCACCCGAGAGGTGCAAGACAGAAAACTATCACAGTGACAACAAAAGAAAAAAAGAATTATAATAACATGAAATTGTGTATATGTATGTGTAAATATATTGTTATAATAATATTGATTGAGCTAAAACAAGTCTGTTGCATCTTGACACCTGTAATAAGGAAGCAGATTCTTGTGTGGGTTCTGAGGCCCCATTGTGGGAAGAATAAGATTCACTGCCCCCCAAGCATGAATGTCATAAAAGAGACTAATTAGGTGTGTTTCTTTAGTTGGGGTGCATCTCCTGGTGGATGTGAGGAACCAACAGTCTACAAACCTGCCACATCTGTAATAAGCGTGTGCACACAAAACTGAAGTTGTTGGAACAAGACTAAAGTCCAGAAGTGGATGAACAACCAGAACTTTACATTAGAGTTGACAGCTGGTGAACGTGAAGGAGACAAAGAGGCAGGTTCATTGTGAATGAAGAACAGTATGAACTGCCTGATCTGTAATAAGTGTGTGCACACACAACTCAAGTTGTGGAACAAGACTAAAGTCCAGAACATTCAATTAGAGTTGACAGCTGGTGAATGTGAAGAAGAAAAGAAGGCAGGTTCATTGTGAATAAAAAACAGTATGAATTGTGAGATCTGATATAAAATGTTCTGTTCTCTTGCTAGCAAATTCAGCATCCCACAGCCTCTCTGATCGCTCGAGTGGCCACCGCCCAGGATGATGTCACTGGGGATGGAACCACTTCCAATGTGCTGATTATCGGAGAGTTGCTGAAGCAAGCTGACCTCTACATCGCTGAGGTATGAGAAATCAGATGTAAAACTAATAGACTCGTCTTATTTGTATTTTATTAGATCATAGCATGTTTTTGGTTTGCCAGGATATGCTATCGGAAGTATGAGAAGTCCTGTTTAGTACAGCAAACCCCTGGTACTTGCGTGCGCACCACATACACACTCTTACACACTGATCAGTGGTAATCACAGTTTTCCTTTTTCTGCTCTCCATGCTGCAGTAAAGCAAAGGCCCTTAACCAACTTGCTCTAAATCCTGTCATTTACCATCACATACAGCTCACCACATGTCCTCCCTATCTTTTTTATTTCTGTCTATATCACCCTTCTTGTGGCATTTTTTATTGGGTGGTTGGGGGGGGGGGGCAATTATTTGTGGGTTTTCGGGTGTAAAGACATTCTATTTATATTCTCAGGTTTTCTCGGCATGGATCCACGCCAGTCTTTTCTTTACCTCTTGATTTATTGGAGTTTTAGTTCTCTCCCAAAACTCTTACATTAATGAGTAAGTCATGCCATTTAATTCCCTTTATTCTGCGCTGGCACCATGATGAATGTGTAGTGTACATTAGCACCTGTTTTAGTTCTTAATTTATTAACTCCATACAACACTACTGATTTGACAGTAGAGTATTTTATTACTTTCTCCCGGTGTGGGGTTCTGGAGCCCTGTTATGGGGGAAGGGGGTGGGAGGAATAGACCCACTACCTACTCAAAAGCATGTCATAAGAGTCGACTAATTGGGAGCTTCCTTCAAAGTCGTAGTGCATCTGCCTGAGAGGCAAGGAACCTGCAATCTGCATACAGAGTCAGATCTGTAAAACGGATGCACATGCAACACTCAGGTTCTGGAACAGGACTGCAGTTAAAAAAGTGGATGAACAACCAGAACTTTCTGCCAGAGTTTACAGCTCGTGAACGCGAAGAAGAAAAGAAGTTATTACTTTTCCCATTGCCTTTGACCTCAACGGATTTACCATTGCTGAAAGTGCTGTGCACACAGATTAGTAGAGAAGCACATCAATGACATGATTTGTTTCAAATGCTGGATGCTTCTTTATTGCAGGGCCTGCATCCTCGTATCATCACTGAAGGATTTGAACTGGCTCGCAATAAGTCATTGGAAGTGCTGGACCAGGTGAAGATCAAGAGAGAGATTGACCGTGACACCCTGGTGCTGGTGGCTAGGACGTCTCTGAGAACCAAAGTTCATCAGGAGCTGGCAGATCTGCTTACAGAGGTGACTCTTCTAGTTTCTCATCATAGTTTCTACTTTAACCCTTTTGCCCTGTTTACACTTTGAAAAAAAAAAAAGTGGTTATCTCGTAATTGTTTAAAAAAAAATCTTTTATGAACAGCTGAATACACAGGTCACTTATAAATTGTAAATTTTTGAAAAAAAAATATATGTAGTTACATTAAAAAAAAAAGAATATCAGAATATATATAAAGGGTATAAAATGAGTAATCAATAAACATAGATTCAAGCATTTAATTACATTTCTTTGGGCCTAAAAAAAATAGGTATATGGGGCGGCTCTGACCCTGTGACCTATCACTGAAGCTTATGGAAAAATTTGAGGTCAACTTAGCTTTTAAAAACTTTTGATTTTTAGGAAACCCACCTGAATGCTATTTTTAGTTTGTATATTCACATCCTGACCTCATAAACATCTGCACAGGCACAAACCCAGCCAATACCATTAACTATGTTTCTAGTGAACAGGTCACTATAGCTGGCAAACCTTTTGGGGGATCAAACAACCCTTTCACAGAGCACGCCTACAGCCATAGAAAAACACATAGACGCTAAAGTTATGACGCTACAAAGAAAATTTTATGGTTGTGGGGTCACCAGAACATGAGCTGTATTAAAAGGTTGCAGCATTTGGAAGGTTGGGAATTACTGCTGTACAGGGAATAAGCCCCCAGTTGGAAGTGTTGGTTGTGAGTGCAACAGGTAACACTGAGTTCTTGTGTAAACTAACCTGCTTACTTACTGAATTCTGATTCATAACGTTAACCCAGGTCACTACCCATTTTAGGCTGTGTCAGCCTCAGAACCAAGCTCAGTTTTGTAGAGAGAAAAAGTCCGCCTCAGTGTGGATTTGAATCCTTGACATTCGGGTTGGCAGGCGAGCACCTAGCCACTACTACACTGCTGCGACTCCCCTCTGATTTAATCCTATCTTATTGTTTATCAATGGCTTCTGAATTATTATTGTCTATCTTATCGCTTATTACTGATTTAGTGATTAGAATCTTATTTTATACTGAGTTCTAATTGCTTACTGTATTCTGGCTTAACATTTCCTAGTCCTAAATACACATGTTTGATTGATGTCAGCATTTCAGATGATGTTAACTTCATGTGATTGAAATATTAATGAACTTGTGATCTGTTTAACCAGCTTTCTGTATTTGTTAAAGGACCTACAATGTGTTTAAAGGTAACTTCATTAAGTCGACTTGGGAGCCAAGGTCATTTTTGAGGGGGAGGGGGGAGGTGTCTGTCTCCGTCAGGACCTGGACCAGTGACCTTCAGATCTGCAGCCGAGCGTCTAGCTGCTACACCATGACGGCTTCCCTGTTGCAACAGTGCAGAATGCTATTATGGCATTCTTAATTTGTCAGACATGTTATAGTTAAATAGTTATTCTCTTCTTGTTCTCTTCCTCTGATATCCTCATTAAAATCAAAACATAGGGGAGATATAAGGCTCTTCTGTGTGTACTCTTACTACTGCAATGTTGTATTAGTTGATTCTGATTTATCTAAGGCTGTCATTCCATCTTCTGCTCAGTCTTCTAGTTGTTCTGTGTCAGTTATATTTGGTAGCAGGGCCTTAGTCATCAGATGGTCAGATCATCTTATCTGTAACTCTTTCCTGAATTGTATAACCTTTCAGTCCTTTCATTGAAAGTGCTGTTTTTATTTCCTCTCTCTGCCAGCATGTTTGAGATGTTGTGGAGTACATTATGTTATTAGAGTAGTATTTTTCTTTTTGCAAACCAGATGTATAACCAGTATAAATTTACGTTGCTATATGATTTCCACACACAGCATGCTGTTGATGCTGTCTTGGCAATCAAGATGCCAAATGGATCCATCGACCTGCATATGGTAGAGACTGTTGAGATGAAACATAAAACTGATATGGATTCTATGTAAGTTGTACACCAATAATTATCGTGGTCACGGCTTTTTGAAAACTGTAAATAAAGGTGTCGATACTCTCCTCAGCATGTCTTGAAAAGGTGCCAGTACTCGACACAAGATGTCTATTACATTAGCACTGAACATAATTATGCTTACAAAACAAAACAATAGGTGCTGTAGTGTCCTGCCAGAAAAAAGCCCTGGTCATCGTTAACATGTTTTTTTCTTTTTCTTACTTAATTTGTTATTTGAAATAATTCTTTGAAAGATTGAGAAGAAATCAGAATTTCCACATGTAGTTGGATGTCTTTATAAGAAATTATAAAAATAAATTGACATAATAAGTAAAAAGTAGTGACAAGAGATAACACTGTTGACAAGAATATAGACTGGGGTCACAAGAAATGACAATGTAGGCCAGGAATTCAATTGCAAACACAAGAAATGACAATGTAGACAAGGATATAGATTACCGTCACAAAAATGGCACAGTAGAAAGAATATAGACTGCAGCCGCAAGAAATGACACTGTAGGCACAAGTTAAAGATTCAACATCACAGAACATATGACATTCCTGTAAGAGCTACATGACTATCTTCAGCAGCCGGTTCGAGTTCCGATTCCGTTCAAACCAATGTCTCACTATGTGTCCTTGCCCCCTCTTTGAGTGTTGGAAACATCCTCCGGCAACTGCCCGCTGCATCATTCTAAACCATATAATACACTGCACTAGAGTTTACAGCCATGACGCATCTGACATTCTCCAACTGGTAGTAGTTTCACATGCAGGCACCTTTCCCTGCCACAGCGAAAGGACATCAAGAATCTTCCATCACTGTTTTCATTTTTCTCTTTCCGCAAATCTTTTCATTTGTCGTGAATGTTGCAGCTTTTCTTTTCTCATGATGTAACAGAAAATGCCTCTACCTGATTCTGAATCTATGTTTAAAAAAAAAGAGGTGTTTTGTTAGCTTATTTCCAAATATTTTAGTCATTATATTTGTTCAAATAAATCATGAATTAGGTCATAAATAAAAGATCGACACAGAACCAATTCTAAGTTACATATACAGAGACAGCAAATCAGGTGGTTTGCCCAGCCAGAGAGAATATCTTGTAACGTCATACCATACAAGGCTTACTCCAAAAGAGGAGAAAGTCATATGGCACAAAGTAGATCAAGAGCAAGGTGGAAAGATATCAGAGTAACTCTGCAACAACATAATGTGTCTATGGTCAAGGCAGCAAGATAAGCAAGAAGCAGAACCTCATATCCCCTCTACACCTAAAGCAGTAAAAGAAGCGGTCATTTATTCAGACCATACTTTGTTTTATAGGCTGGAGATTATGCAGTTTTATACATCTTGCTGCCCAGCGCTGAGATTGTTGACTAAATTGTTTTCTTTCCCAGACTGGTTCGTGGAATGGTGCTGGATCACGGTGCCAGACATCCAGACATGAAGAAAAACATGGAAAATGTTTACATTCTGACCTGCAATGTCTCTCTTGAATATGAGAAAACGTGAGCATTCGTTTGATTTGTTTTAGAAAAGTTATTTGTGGTCTTCACATTCGCCAGCAGAAAGTTTTGGTTTTTCATCCACTTCTGGACTTGTCTTGTTCCAAAACCTGAGTTTTGCATGCATATCCAATTTACAGATCTGGCTTATTTGCTGCAGTTTGTTAGTTCCTTGCCTCTCAGGCAGATGCACTCCGACTTCAAAGGAAGCGCCCCTAATTAGTTGACTCTTATGACATGCTTGTTAAGAGACAGTCGTTTTTTCCGCCCACTATAGGCTCCAGAACCCACATATGAAGTCATTTATAGTGATCTCTCGAAAGAAATTAACTTACAAAGAGAACTAATAACCAGCATTAAAAAAAAGGCCCCTGACATACAGAGCGTCTGAATAGATGGGGTGAAAAAGAGTGTTTCTGACTAAAGGGAAAAACAATTGAAAAATTGGTCATGTTAAAGGCACACATTAAAAAACAATACTGGAGGGAGAAGAGACAGGCATTGATACAAGTGGGAAGATATCAAAAGAGGGTCAAGCAGTATCTGAGTGAGTGTACTACCTGAACAAGAAATTGTTTTGATCTCTTGCATCAAACCCTCATGGTGGAGACAGTACTTGATTTATAAGAACATCATTCACTTTCTGTGGACATTTCTTGAAAATGGGACAACTGAAGTCTTGATAACTGGAGAATTGAAAAAGACAGAAGAGGGACAATACGGCATCATGTATTTGAGGAGTATTAACATTCTGGGGTTAGGCACCATCAAGGACACCAAAGAATTTGCGAGCATATGTTTAACTTGTAGCAACATATGGATGAGAGTTGTGTACTATCTCAGTCATTAATGAAGAAAATGGGGGCATTTGAGTTTAAATGTCAAAGAAAGGTTATAAAAAAATACCATGGACAATGAAGAAAAGAAATACTGAAATCCTAAAAGATCATCAAGTAGCTAGTAAATAGCCTTGTGATCAAAGCAGAAGGCATGTTGTGAAAGATGAGCATAGGATATATGTCACATTGGGTAGGAAAATACTTGAGCTAGGAGAGCTGGCAAGAGACTGAGCTTCTTTCAAGCAGATGATGATCAAGGCATCACTACAAAGGACCTGCTATGGAATGGCATGGCAAATGTGTATAAAAATGGTTGACAGTACACTTAACAGAAGATTGTGGCCAGACTTGAGAACGTTCACACCTTGTAGGCTATGTGCAACAGGATATTTACTCTATTATGCATTCCTTCTGTGAAAACTGGTGAATTCTTCCAGGTTTTAGAATTGTTGCCTCCGCGGTTTCTGGGACCCTGTTTTTCGTGATAGAAAAGAATAGAACCAGTGCCCTTTAACGACGATATTGTAAAGTGTAACTAATTAAGGTTTTGTGGAAACTGAATGTCTTGTTTCGAAAGTCGCAGATATCGCAGCCTATCAATTTGAAAAGAAGTAATTAGTTTAAATAACAGCTTTGGATAATGCAAGTTCAAATAACTTGGGACAGAACTAGTTCAAGAATCAACTTAATGTGATAGAACTAGTTAAAATAACAACTTGGGGTAGAACAAGTTCAAATAACAACTTGGGGTAGAACAAGTTCAAATAACAACTTAGGATAGAACCAGTTCCAATAACAACTTGGGATAGAACCAGTTCAAATAACAACTTGGGAGAGAACTATTTCGTATATTGACTTGATAAGGAGAGAACTATTTCAAGATGGACCTTTTTAGAATAGAGCTAGTTTCAGAAACAGCTGAAAAGGATAAATCTCATGACTGAAGATAATTGAGTCAAATCAACGCCTGTTATGGGGCTGCAAGAGTTAATAATTTGTGTGTATTTGTGATGTTGTCCCTTTTCTAGATAAACATGAAACTGTTTTTCTTCCAGTGAAGTCAATTCTGGATTCTTCTACAAGAGTGCTGCTGAGAGGGAGAAACTTGTGGCTGCTGAGAGGGAGTTTATCAATGACAGAGTCAAGCGTATTATAGACCTAAAGAAGAAACTTTGTGATGGGACAGATAAGAACTTCCTTGTTATCAATCAAAAGGTAACTATATCGTTGTCCAGATTTTGTTGTTGTCCCAGGGTGTTTTGCCATGAGGAGTTTCCGTGCCCCAGAGAGCTATTCTGTGGGTAGCCACCAGGAGTGTGTCCCAAGCCAGACAAGTCAAAGGGTAGAGAAAGACAGACACACCATGGTCTTCCATGTTAGGGAATGAAGCTTGAATCTGACACCCTCACCTTTTTTTTAAAACACTAATTTCCTCATGACACAAGATTTAAAAGCCTCAAATTCCTATATATTTAAACAAAAACTCTGGAATGTTAAAGATGATGTGAGTGGGAGCAGACTTAAGTAGACTGTGGAGTGGCATACAGGCAGACCTGCACTTGAAGTCCCCAAATGAAAAGTGGAAGCCAACTAAAGATGAATGGAAATGGGTGATGTCAAAGGCTCAGAATGCCAAACCAGAAGCAGTCTGATTGTTTTTAAAGTAGCTGTTTTGTTAGACACTTCATTATCATGGGGCAAAAAGTTTTTAAAAAATGGCTGCGTGTTTAAGCCAGGCTGACATTGTCACCAGGTAAAGTCCTGGCAAGTGAGGGTGTCATCAAGATGTTAAGTCTGACCTGGAGAGTGCCAGTTTGTCTGTACAGAAATGGTCAGACAGGTGTTACTAGCAAACAAACTTGGCTTTGTAAGTTAGATACCTTTACTCTTGACATGGGATCAAAATATATAAACATGTAAACAAAAAAGCAGCTGATGAATACTATGTTTGCACTAACTTTGTGCTATCAGTGCCAGACATGGACAGTCCTAGAAAATTATATAATGCTAAGTTACAGCATGTGAGAGGAGATATGAAAGAAATGCAGTGGGGGAAAAACATGAGACAGTCACCAGTGAAGAACTAAGAACAAAAGTGCCAGATTGCCATACTTCTTAATGACTTTGTTCCATTCCAGTGCTCGATCAGTCAAGGACTATCAGATGTTGTCTTCCCAGCATACCCTGGGTCATCCTAGAGTCTGGTTCTTGGCTCGGCTCCCCCATGCCTGCCATGGTTGCCAATACTCTTCTAATCCAGCATGTCCAAACCATTCTGATTGTGGCTGATCCAGTCAGATTTATTAAGCCTGGCTTTCAAGGTCATGGTGTATTGTCTGGTTGCAAACATTTATTTCATTTGTGATGTTGAAATGAGACTATTTCAGTAATTTGTTGCTTTTGTTTGTTACTGTCAGGGAATAGATCCAATGTCTCTGGATATGTTCGCTAAAGAAGGCATTGTTGCTCTTAGGCGGGCCAAGCGCAGAAATATGGAGCGGTGAGTGTTTATCGTATTTCATTTTCCACACGTGGGTCCCATGGTCCCTTTGTGGTAGAAACAGAACAAGTATGTCATTAAAGGCGACTAATTAGGGGTGTTTTCTTTGAACTCAGAGAGTACATCTGCCTGAGAGGCAAGGAACCAACAGCTGGCATAAAATATGCAATATGATTACAAGACTAAAGCCAAGACATGGGTGAACAGCCACAATTTTCTGCTGAAGTTTACAGCCGGTGAAAGCAGAGAAGACATCAAGGGTTCCTTGAGCCCACTAAAATAGCATAGTCAATCATTTATAAGTGTTGGTCGGATGATGGGGGAGAAGCGGGGTGTAAGATAGGTGGGTCTTGCCTCTGAGGATCTAGGGCTGCCTGGCTTATGCCAACACCACAGACTGCAGGTTAGGGTTCTGGTCCCTGCAGACAGAAAATCTACCACCGTCCTGAAGATTCAAGTGAAACTGGCAATCTTAACATTTCAGGCTGCTGCTCACAGAAGTAGAGGAATAAAATAGTGAAAGGGGACACATGTCCACCATCGGCAAGGAACAACCAACTGCACACAAAGTAAACGGATGTACACACAAAACTCAGACCCTGGCACAAAGCCAAAGTCTAAATGGACGAATAACCATTACTATACACCAGGGCTTAAAACCCGTAAAAAAAAACTAGAAGTAGCTATTAATTTTTTTAATAGCAGCTTAGAGGGAGTGAAAGAAAAGATTTTATCATAATGATTTGTAAAATTCAGAACTGAGCTTAAAAGTTCAGAAGCTCCCAGTTTTCTTGAATGATTACAGTAAGGTTCCTTACTTACCATTTTATGTCAATTCTTGACTATATTTGTGTGCGGCTATGTTTCCAGAATTGTGCTGGCTTGTGGCGGTATGGCAGTGAACTCAGTGGATGATCTGGTGCCAGAGTACTTGGGCTGGGCCGGCCATGTTTATGAGCAGGTTTTGGTAAGTTTGTTTTCTGTTATGTTCTTTAGAATAATTATGGGGGGGGGGGGGGGGAATTAGTAACTATTATGTTATGCACTGTACTTTTTGGTATACAAGTTGACCTCAAGCTTTTTTTAAGTTCCAAATTGTGTTAAACTTATGCCTAACTAAAGTATTTTATGCACACCATAAGTCAACCCCTAGTTTTGGACAGTTTTTTTTTTTTATACAAAGCTTGTTTGCCACAATTTGCATTAAGTATCTGGCCTTGGCGCTGTATCTTGAAGTAAAAAAGGAGGTTGTATAGTATAGTTTGTGACCCCCCAAAGCTTTGACTGTAGATTAGCTGCTCCTAGGGCTTTCCATGTCCAGCAGGTCAAGTGATAGAAACACACAAGCTTTAAGCTCTGGTTGTTGGTCCATTTGGGCTTTGGCTTTGTGCCAGAGTTTTGTGTGTACATCCGTTTTACTGACTTTCTGTGCAGTTGGTTTGGAAACCAGACCACAGTTATAACTGATACTGCTTGCAGTAGGTTTAAGGTGGTCAATTTTTGTGTGGTTTTTAACAAATGGATGGATGGATTGAGGGCCGGCTAGTGTACACCCTATTGCCCTGGATAGAATCTCCAGGGGCAACGCCCTTAGATGCTGGAATGAAGAGAACACCACACAGATAGGCTACTTCAGGTCCCTCGAAACTACACAGGAGGTTACCTGGTAGGGTCAACACTGCTTGATGAAGTCGGATATTTCGGCCGAAAGGCACAAATATTGCATCTTTGGTGTTAACAGGCACAACACAGTTATGTCACTCCGACAAACTGTAAGAAAGAAAAGATTCTTTTTCACGATTTCTTGTAAATAATGCCCAGCCCTGTTCTTCTTTAGCCGTCTTCATTTTGTGGGTGAAGAAATGTATCTTTCTATGTAACCTTGTGGCATGCTACACCCACTGTAACTTGCACATTTTCTCCAAGCAAAGAACACAGATTATGAGACTGGCCATATCTTACTTAACCTTGTTATGTAATCCCTTTTTGTGTGCCCTTTAACCTCTGTTAGTACCAGAAGGTTTGCAGGAGATCCTCGATGAGGGATAAAACAAAACTATTACAAAAGCAAGATTGTATCAGTTTCATGAAGACTATTTGCATGGGAAGTGATCAGATGTTTTTGACAATGCAATGGTGGGGCTTCATGTAGTCATGAGATAGGAGGCCATCACACATCATGCGTTACTTAGGACTCAGAGTTAAGGGTGGTTTACAGCTAGGCTGTGATAATTGCCTGTCACCTTTTACAAAATCCTTGTTGGGGTGCAGTCAGTCTATTATTTTTATAGGCTTTTATTAAGTTTGTTTTTGTTTTGTTTGTTATTCTAGATCGGTTTTTGTGTTAAAATTCTTTTTTCCCCAAATGGGTCCCTGAAATATGCAGTGGGAGGGAGTTAACTGATGCAATTGTTGTTTTGCTTTCTAGGGTGAAGACAAGTTCACATTTGTTGAGGATTGTAAAGAACCCCATTCAGTGACCATCGTCATCAAGGGACCCAATAACCACACCATCAACCAGATCAAGGATGCCATTAGGGATGGACTCAGGGCGGTGAAGAATGCCATTGATGACAGTAAGTCATGGTTGGTTTATCATTTGTTTGATCTGTGTGGCTTAGTGAATAACATTGTGCAGTTGTTCTGTAGCTTTGGGGCTCATAAATAGGAAATAATGAAACAGTATGCATTGTCTAATTCACCCCTCTTCCCACCATCCCAGTTGTCTGCTTCTCTCGCTTTGTGTGTGTGTCTGTATATATATATATGTGTGTATAGCTTCGTTTCTGTCTCTACTCTCTCTCTCTCTCTCTCTCTCTCTCTCTCTCTCTCTCTCTCTCTCTCTTGTGTGTGTGTGTGCACTAAAAAATATTTCTACTTTCTGACAGATTGTGTTTTACCTGGAGCTGGTGCATTTGAGATTGCCGCCTACCAGGAGCTAATGAAGTTCAAGGACACCGTGAAAGGCAGAGCAAGATTAGGTAACTCCTGTCTTTGTGTACATGTTTGCTCCCATCATCTTCAGTGCAATATCTTGTTTTTTTATTTGACCTTCAAAGGACATTGACTTGTGTTGTGGTGAGCTGCAATATCTGCACCTTTTGACCCAGCACCTCCAATTTCAGCAAACTGCCTTTTTTACCCCCATGTCAGTGCACATCAAAATTCTGAGGTCCCGGGTTCAACAGCTGCCGGCAATTTAGCAATGGTTTTAACAGTAGTGTCGAGAGCTGATTGTTCGGGAAGCAGTGGCAAACTACTTAAGCATTAACATTGCCTAGTGAAATCAGAAACAGCGAAAAAAAGTTTGTATTGGTTCTGCAGTGTCCTGTGACAAAAAAATAACCAATGGCTGTGATGTCACCACAGCTGTGCAGGTGAGGATTTTATTTTGTCCCCGACAGAAAAAAATCCCTAGCCTTACTGAGGATTCGAACCTGTTTCTCCTGCTTGAGAGCCCAGCCTTCTAACGGTTTGGCCAGCCGCTCCTCCTCCAACAGCATACACACGCATTAAATGTATAAGGCAGCAAACAGAAGTGCCAGCAGTCAAGTCAGTCAGACACTAGAAAGTGGAAGGAGCAGTTTCAACATATCAGTGGTTGTAAGCGCAGTTAATTGCAAAAGGCACCACAAGTTCTGTGGCAACCGGTTACTTGCCGTTTTCTTTTTAGTATGCAATTCCCAACACAAACCACGCTCTGCACAGTCGAAAAGCATTCTCATTTTCACGCCATGCACTCAGCTTAGTAGCTGGACATTGAAACTATATCTTTTGTTTATATATATAGAAAAATGAGACAGCTAACTGTTGTCACAAGAGAAAACTGATCGTGACTTAAATGAGATTCCCGCCTATCTGCCTTATTAACCTGAAGTGTGCGTTTGGCATTTGTTCCTAACAATTTTTTTTTAAAAACTGGAGTTTGTTTCCCCTGTAGTTTGCATTTTTATGTTTCCAGGTGAAAATATTCTATTATTATAAAGGCAGGCAGTTTCTGATGTTTACTACTAAGTTTAGTTCACTTTGACTTTGACAGATTTTCTGGTGTTGTGAAGTCATCTCTTTATATAAGTCTGATTTGTACCTCTCTGTATGTTCTCTTATCTATGCTGAAATATTTGTAGGACTTTATAGCTTGTGTCTGGGTGTCACTGAGGAGGATTAATTTATTTTTTGTTGGCGTTTTTTTATTGTCTTTCTGCTTTAACGTTCTAGTTTTATTTGTTGTGATTTTCCATCGGGTCTGTTTATCTTCCATTTGGTAAGTTCCATCTGGCTTCATTACTTGGATGGGGAGAAATTATAACCAAAGTCCAGATGGTCAGATGCTTTAAAAAAATAATTTTGCGTTAAAATTTTTTCTATTTCTGTTGGGATTGTTAAATTCTGTTTCTGATTGTAGTTATCGTTGTCTTCGTAATCCCGTCTATTTTGAATATAATAAAAGCTGCATAAGATATCCTTGACTCACTGGCGTTGGTTATCTCCATACCCCCTTGTGAAGTGTTTTTCTTAAAGTCAGTGCCATGCGGCATTGGTAGTCATTTCTGTCCATGACCTTCTGCCTCGTGTAGTTTCAGTCAACTCTGACACAAATGATCCTCCATGCCATGATGTCAAACTGTCCTGCATTTTTCATTGTTCATCACTAATGTCTCTCTGTGCCTTTCCTCCCCTCCAACTTGTATACTGTCACAATGTACTCCAGTTTTCTCCATCTCATCACATGTCCAGATAATGTGGATTGTGAATTTTATGTGTGCTGAATGTGTAAAGAGGGTGCTAAAATGTTACATAGAGCTTGTTCTTTTGTATAGCAGCGATCTTGGAATATCAGCGAACAAATTAAAAGGCATTTAGAAGCAACAGAGATGTGGTTTCTGATATGTATGAACACTTTGGACGGCCAGAGTAACTAACAATGATTGTTTTAAAGGAGCTAAAGAAAGTAGATCTCTAATACAACAACAAGAAAGAGGCACTGTTCCTTAACCACATAATGATAAGAGAGACATTGGAAAACATCGTGACAACTGGAAAAATCAGTGGAGAAAGGGGGAGAGGCAAACCAAGAGGAAAGATGCTGGATAGGCTGAAATAATGGCATGAGGGATATTATCAAGAGAACTGTTCCAGTAACCAGGGATCGTTATCTTTGGAGATGCATGAGCGCCAGTTGGCAGGGCACATAATGATCATGATGGATGTAAAATATGTATATTTCTGTTATCTACCTTACTGATTTTTTAAAATTGAATTTCAGCATTTTTTCCATACTAACTTGTTTACCAAATGTAAATATGTTTATGTTGCACAGGAGTTCAAGCATTTGCAGAAGCCTTGTTAATAATCGTGAAAGTGCTGGCCCAGAACTCCGGTCTGGATCCCCAGGAGGCCATTGTAAAGCTGCAGCAGGAGTACGTCAGTCCGGACCAAGCTGTTGGCCTGGATATCAAGACTGGTGAGTTGTTGAGCTGTTCGAGTTTCTGGGAAGTTGTTCTGTTAATTGATTCAGGGCTCGTTTTAGCGCACTGACATCATGGTCGTAGGTTGAAGGCCTTGTGATTAGTTTTAGAATTTGGGCTTGGGCTGTACTCCTAGCTTGATCTTTCATAAAAGGGGGGCACTAGGAAATAACACAAACAGCACATAATGCCTAGACAGCTGTTGATACCCGACTGACTACAGTTATGGTCGCTGGTCTACAAGCCGCTTTGTGTAGTTTGAAAAACTTACAAATGCATTATAATTAAATTTGTACAGCATTCATTAGTGATTGATGAATTTTTTTTTTTGTCTCCTTATTTTAAAGAATTTTTCGCATATCAAATTTCCATTGATTTGCAGTTCTTCTCTTCCCTCCACACCCATTTTTTTTTAAAAACTGAGTCCCAAGGAATGCATCATACCTAAAGGCCCAGTGAACGCAAGATGCACCGATTTACGTCTCTTGACTACCTCTTGGGTCTCTGGGACTTTAAGAGTTGAAAAGTAGTTTCAGGGTTTAAACCCCCAGTCTCACAATCCCTATGTTCTGCACCACCCAGACAGTGAATACTGCGGGCAATCGAGATAGTTTTTACTCTTGTTTTTATTGTTCATTATCCGCTTACAGGTGAGGCAATTCTCCCCATTAATGAAGGAATCCTGGACAATTTTAATGTAAAGCGACAGCTGCTTCATTCATGGTGAGTTTTGTTCTCGTGTACTTTGCTGACAAGGTTGTTGATTGGGCTATGTTGTAACTCCATTGGGCTATGTTGTAACTCAGCTACTTTGTACTGACTAAGGTGTTGATTGCATTATGTTGCAGTACAATGAAAGAGCTACGTGTGCCTTTCTGTGGGTACATCTGCTGGCGTCAGTGAAGTTGGTTTCTGGCGCTTTGGAAGGGGAGGGGGCTGTTGCTCTTTTACAGGTGTAAAAAATCACTAATTGCATGTTTTTAAATGTAATCAAAAAGTGGCGAGGTATCAAGTTTGGATATAAGTTTTAGTCAGGATGTGTTCTTAAATCTTTAATGCATGCATTGAATATCATATAGATTTTTAACAATAGATGTACAAACAGCTGATGAAAAATAAAAGTCCTTAGCTTTTTATCTGTTTCAGATTTGCTTGATGTACCCCTTTAAACAAACACACACACACACACACACACACACCCACCACCCCACCCCCCCCCCCCCCCTTTACACCCGCGAGCACATACTGTAAATCACTGTGTTAAGAGGTTTGAGTGAACTGGGTATAGTCCACCTTTCAGGTTAGGGGTTGGCGGTGTGAGTGAGTGTAAAGTCAGACTGTTCATTTGACCATGTAACATAGACACTAGGGTTTTGTGTGTGTGTAAATCCCAAGTTATTTAATCTCTGGGTCACAGCTGTAACCTGGGAGATGACTACGCTGTGAAGATTCAAACATCCCGCTCCTTTTGTAATATTTAAATATGCTGTGTAATAACCGTTACATTCCCTTTGTGAGTTTTAGTGTCCCATGGTCAATAAAACTGACCCACTGCCTCCCCAACAAGTACAACATATGAGACGTATTGGTGGCATCCTATGAAGTCAGAGTACATCTGTCTGGGAGGTGAGGAACCAAGAGTCTGCATACGGAGAGCCAGATCTGTAAAACAGATGTGCACAAAACATTTGGGTTTTGGAACAAGACTAAAGTCTGGAGGTGGAGGAACACCCAGAACTTGACGTCGGAGTTGGCAGCCCTGGTGAAAGTGAAGAAGAAAACCTTAAGCAGTTTGGCTTTTTAATGTTTGCATCAGCTGCCCCATGTGCAACTGATGTGAGGAAAAATCTTTTATTGTTTTTTTTTACTTTACATAGTACATTTTCTATTTATTTTGTATGTTTCTTATCCAATTACAGCACAGTCATAGCCACCAACCTTCTCCTTGTGGATGAGATCATGAGAGCTGGAATGTCCTCGTTAAAGGGAGACTCTTGAAATAGGATTTAAGTGGCACATCACTCTTTCTCTTGTGGTTGTTTCTCACCTGTATGTTTTATAGTTTATTATTCATGTTTGTCAAGATTCCAGTTTTATTAGATTTGCTTGAGTCTGTCTAGAATTCTGTTAAACAGACATTTGTTCTGTTTTCATTCAATGGTTACCTTTCCAGCATGTTCATATACGTGACATGTGAAATATTTTTAAAAGACATAACACCTTGGCGGGAAGTTGAAGGCAAGAGTAGACAGCATTAGAAGTGGGAGGAAACTATCAAGAGATAAATGATCAGCAGTCTCCGAGTATATACAACCAAGACAAGAGACAAGGCATGTTGGAGATCCAATACAATCAACCTTTGTTGTGGGAACGGCCCCTGATTCATTGATGTGTTTTGTTTGTTATAAACTTCAAAATTGCAGTGTCAGAAAACCTCAGAATCTTCATTCATAGTTCTTGTTAGGATTTATCACAACAGGGTCGGCAGTTGTTAACTAACATACCAGCTCCTTTTTTGTCAAGAGAGGGGTGCATCAGATTAAGCAGAGACCCTCCACCATATCACTGCCTCTGCATACATCTAAAAGGCACTGTCTGGAGATGTGAACCAGCGTCACTGCACACAGTTATAAACTGTAAGTGCTCTGCCACCAGTACGGACAGCTGATAAGGAACTGTCCACCTGTGTCGCCGTCCACATGCAACTTTGTAGCTACAGTGATGTTCCTAAATTTACCCCAGAGTGTTAACTCTAGCACCCATTGTCTAGAGAAACCCCAGGAACTGTCCAGTTTTGAATACCGGCTTTGAGCTGCAATGAATCGCAGCTGGATTTGAAATTGAGTCTCCTGTCAGCTTCACTGACACGGCCCCCTTCTAGATACATCTGCAGCTTTGAATATGTTCTTTTGTTTTTAAACATAGTTTCATGTTTGCTTTTGTCACTTTTGATAATAAATTCCAGAAATGTGAATATTGCTGTCAGCTTTGTTTTATGTGGGTTCGTTTTATCTCTGATATTTATAAAATTGTCGTAAAGTGAGGTTAAACAGTCATGAGCAGGACTTGACGATTCCTTGGGTGAGCCCAGTACCAGCGCAGCAAAGTACTAGCTTTGAGATTAATCCAACCCTAACTGGGTACCAATTCCTGGGAAGTAAAGGTGGCCGGCATGATGCACCGGGTACCGATTAATTTAAAAATAAAGGTCTAGCCTATTTACACAACCTGCTTGAAGCGGTGCTTTACATTGGGGATCAGGTCTCTTGAACCCTTCAGATAACCACCATTATTATGCATTTAAACAAGGGTGAGCGCACCCACCCACCCCCCCCCCCCCCCCCCCCCATAATAACTTGTGGGGGACTGAAGGGCTCTTAGCCCACCTCCCACATCTGAAATGTTTTCTTTTACCCAGTGCCCCATAACAACAGAGATATGTCTTAGAAGAGCTGCCTGCAACAAGTCATGCAGTTTATTACAGGGAAACAGATGTTTTGGCCATCTGACAAGAATGTTGTGGTGCCAAGGGGAAGACCACGCAGAATGTGGATTGAAGGTATCTAGAACAGGTGTAAGAAATTAAAACCTACCTATACAATGCATTAGAAAGAGAAAAGGGATACTCATATCTCTCACCAACACTTCGATGAAGTCATTAGATTTGTCATGACAACAACATGAACACAAGCCTGATCCCTGATTATGGTAATTGTGCAAGATAGCTGTCCAAACTAATTGGCAGTATGATCTAAGAAAACGATCGGCAGAGACGTGATTCTGTAGAATTGTAAATATATAAACTAACTGCCTCCTAACAATCGTATCGTAAGAAGCAACTGATGAGAAGGGTTTCCTTCCAAGTTTGATTTCATTCATATGAGAAGCCAACATTTTGCATCCTAATAAACTAGATCTGTAGAAACGGGGGTGTATACGCAAGTTGTAGAACCACAAGTGGACGAACAACCACATCTTTTCCCTGGAGTTTACAGCCAGGGTACCCTAAAAAGATCTTATATAGATCTTGCTATATCTGGTTTAGCCAGGAGCTGTTGGGGTTGGTTCTGCAACGTCCTGCAAAGGCGGAGTACATCTGTCTGAGAGGTGAGAAACCAACAGTCTGCTTGCAAATGAGTCATCTGTGAAACGGATGTCTGCGCAACACTCAGTTGCTAAAACCTAGAGTCCAGACGTGGACGAACAACCAGAACTGGAGTTTACAGCCGGTGACTAAGAAGAAGAAATACTTCATATAATAATATCAATTATTATTACTTTGTCTCCGTCGTGTACATAATATTTTAAGATAAATTGCGAAAGCGAATCTGGTTAACACCGCTTCTGACGCCTAAAGATACCTCTGTCAGCCAAAGCAAATCTCATAAGAACAGTTTTTTTTTTTTGGGGGGGGGGGGGGGGGGGGGGGGGGGGGGGGGGTGGCTGACATTGAGCTACAAGTGCCAAACATGAACTCTTGCTACAGATAATGAGCGGAAGATGGTAACAACAGAGATGTCTTAGGAGAGCTGCGGGTGTGACAAGAAGATAGAAAACGCGAAATGAAGAAGTTAGAAGAAGACTAGGGCTGAAACCAGTCATGTAATTCATCAGAGAACAACAAATGAGATGGCCTGGCCACCTGACGAGAGTGCCCTGGTACCAACTGTCACAGAGTGCCACCCTGAAGAAATATTATAAACGCAGAGCAAGGGGAAGACCACGAAAGAAATGGAACGACATCATTAGGAGGAACCTAACAGAAATGAACATCAACTTGTGAATGCATTGGAAAAAGCGCACAAACGATCCTTACACCCCCCCCCCCCCCCCCCCCCCAAAAAACCTCGCTGAGATCAGTGGTGGGAGTGAAAAAGAACATTTCAGAGTCTGTCTATTTGTGTGTGATGTTTAGTTGCTTGTCATTGTTGTGCCGAGAGAGGCGATGCTGAACATTACTACCAACACCACGAGGCATGAGATAGACTATGAGCAGAAGAAGAATGATACATGAATAATAATAAATTTGAAATATTAAATGTGTAAGAAAATACTTGAATGAGAACTTTTTTACAACTTTTCCAGAAGATGATATGGAGGGGTGGGGAATCATGATGCCCAGTCGCCACTGCAATCAGTGCTGTTATCTTCTCATCATTGACAACTATGCAACAGATTACGCAAAGTGTCACCATTCGGATGAAGATCACCCGGGAACAAATCTCAGAAACCCAGTTCAACCCATGGGTTAGGTTTTATTAGGGCCCCCGGAACAGCCAGTGTGGGGCTTCAAAACAAAAACAAAAATGCATCCGATATTGGGATGCGCTGTAGGTCACTTTTTAATTCAACTCCATTATTTGTTTTGATTGTATGCTACCTATCAGGTTTATAACATTATTGGATTCGATTTATTGCTGCCCTAAAACAATTGAAAGTGTAGTTGTGTCAGTAAAATAAGAGCACGTTCCGGTGCTTGTAATTAAGATTTAGATGTCATTTAGAATGTCTAATATTACCTATGAAAGCATGTATGAATGAAAAACTGAATGCAAGGATTGAGACTGGAAAGGCAGTATGTTAGTCAGGCGTGCGCACCCAAATCTTAACGTCTTCGAAGGTAAAGTTTGTTCATTCGTAGACAACCCCCCCCCCTTTTTTTTTTCTCATACACACACACTAATAATCAGGTCACCCGTAACGGTTACACGGGTCAGATGTCAACCTGCATTCCTGTGCAGGTAAGGACATAATAGAAAGAGTTGAAACTGACTGAACTGAATTTCTACCCCACCAGGACATCACACAAGCGATAAACACCCGATGACACACAGTGCCACCATGTGGATGAGGATCGCCGTGGAGAGGTCCCAGAAACCGCGTTCAGACATTTGGCCATATATGGCCTGCCTATATTGCGGCCCCCGGCAAAAGCCAGAGTAGGGCTTCAAATGACAAAAAATTTCGTCCTAAGAAGGACGAGGTTTTATATAACAAAGAGTTGAATGTCGGCCACCTGTTTAAAATAGCTACAGGACAAAGCTGCAGTATTTCTGCACCAATCAGGGTCGAGCTGACAAATCAATAATCCCTGCTGTAGGTGATGGATAGCAGTCGCCAACAGTTTCTTGTTTCTGTCCAGGGCGTCTATTCACACAAACTACAGTTGCCAGCGTGGTTGGGGAATAGATTTATGGCCTGTCGAGACATGACGGTCTAAAATTACTTGCAAAATCTATTTAAAGCGATTTATCTTCAAGTTTCCATATAAGGCGACTGCGTGTTCGTACGTGAATTTAATTTGGGTTAAGAAAAAAAAAAACTGCAAAGAAACAAATAAGTGGCTATTTATAATCTACGGAGGACGCGATGATCTAGTGAAATGATTTTCTTGCAAGTTTAATTTAACTGTTACATATTGCTACAGACTTTGCAGCAAAATCTTCTTCTGCCTTTTTAGACCCCCCCCCCCTCCTTTTTCCGTTTTTCCCCCAATGGAGCATAGGCCACCAGCCAGCTCACGCCAAGTCGTGCTATCTTATACTATCACATGCAGCTCTCTCCATGTCCTCCCCATCTTCCTAACTTCATTCTCCAGCTGCCTTCTCCGTTTTTTTTTGGGCCTTTCTTTATTCCTATGCCCCCGTGGGTTCCAGTGCAAAGACATTCTAGTTATATTGTTCTCCTGTTTTCTCGATGTGTGTCCTATTCAACGCCAGCGTATTTTCTTCACCTTTTGGTCCACTGGAGCTTGCTTAGTTCTATCCCAAAGCTCTACATTTGTGATTCTATCATACCATTTAATTCCCTTTTTGTGTGTGCAGGCACCAGTTAATGAATGTCTGTAGTTTATTAGTAATTGCCTTGGCTGTTCTCCATGTTTCCGTCCCATTCAAAAGTACTGATTTGACATTAGAATTACAAATATTCAGTTTGGTATTTCTTTTAATTTCTTTTGACCTCCACAAATTTCATAGTGCTATGAAAGCTCCTCTTGCCTTCTGTATTCTTATTTTAACATCTCTATCAGTTCCCCCATCTTTTTCAACATTACTGCCCAAATAGGTATACGACTCCATGTCTTCGAGTGGGGTGTCATTAGGAGAAACAAATGCATAGAAGAAATTCAAGACTGGGGATTGAGAACTTTGCCACCATAAAATACAGAACATGTGCTACCAACATACTCTCTACATGCAGTAGAGAGATCTCAGGTTTAGCGGATTGACATTCCAATAGAAACATAGAAACCAGGCTGTGTGCAACAGTGGAAAACATGCGTGGCACCACATCCTACTTAAGGCACGTGGCGTTGTTTGAAAACCACTGACAAGGAGAACGAAACAATCTTTTTAAAAGACCCTTGCTAAATCAGAGACCCCGTCTCACAACATCATAACGATGCCAGTGATGGCCACAAATTAACAACTTTGGCAAGAAGAAGTAGTAATTTTTCAAAAATATCCTGTTTAACCCTCAGGGTTATAATTGGGATATTTATTAATATGACTAAAATGTAAATTGTATTGTCTCACATTTTGCTTTGATTTGGGTTGTGGATTGGAAAGGCGGAAATTTTTATGGTATCGTGATACTACCTTCGCTTATGGCACCCATTGGAATTAACACCTGCCCTCCCCTTTCCTCCAGGTTAAAAATTAGTGTAGAGTTTTGAGTGGACCGGATATAGTCCACATTTTAGATTAGGGTCTGAACAGCATCATGGCAGTGCTGGGGCTAATGATGGGGTTTTACCCCTAGATCTGGGTTCCTTTTTGACGCCTTGGGTTCAAACTTTGAAATCTGGGTTTTATATATATCCTTATATGTGACACTCAACAGGCGATGTAGAGAAGATAATCCTGTTGCTGTTAATGCAGAGCTCAACGCTCTCATCGGTGAAAATTCAGACGAAGCAGATGCACTAATCTATACAGACGGATCAGTTATACGCCAAAGAAGAAGCGCATGGGCATTTACAGCACGCTCAGCGGGCAGAACAGTCAAAGAAGCCAACGGCGCCTTCTTCATGACAACCAGCAGCATGACGATGGAGGTGATGGCAGTGACGCAAGCGTTTGCCTGGCTTGAAACACAAAAATACACCCGCATATGTATACTCAGTGATTCAATGAGTATGATCCGGAGGGTTCAGGCAGGTTCAGTGCGAAGACAATGGCTTGAATCAATTCAGAAGTCCACTGTGCGAGGAGTCACCTTTATTTTTGTTCCGGGACACGCAGGCGTCGATGGAAATGAAAGAGCTGACAGGTTGGCTGGATCCGCTATCACTACCGACGGTCGGCCTATGGATCATGCTGATATTATCAATGCCCTCAGAGAAATGGGAAGGATAGAGGACTTTGGTGGCAGTGAATCCACATCACTCGCCAGAATGGCAGACTTGGGAATTAAGATCGGCACAGCAAAAAACGAGACGCACACCGGACACGTCAGAAGACTTGTTAATCAACATAGAACTGGTACTATTAGCCATCGGACGTTGGGATTCATACTGAGGGGAGGATCTGAGCACCTATGGACATGTCCGGAGTGCAATGATGATAACCCAACTAACTAACTAATATAAAAGTGGCTAAATGTTTCGTTTCGTGACTATACAATTTGTACTTTTTAACACTAGTTTTTTTTTTTTTTGCTTATGTGCCTGGGTTTTTTGTTCAGACCTGCATGGCACACGGGTAGTAAGTAACCCATAAGTGCTCTTTTTTTTTCTTCTGACTGAAGTCCGAAGGAGCTCAGCACAATGCACAGGCTCTGTAGCACCGGCGAGGTTCCTGAAATACTTTAGGTAGATTTTAAACTAAGTTTTGCATGGGAAGCGCCGTTAGACTACTCATTTAGATTTCCAACTGCCAGGGGATTTTTTACGTGCACAACAGTCACACAAGCGTCTGATCTCATTAACCAAAGATACTCTTCTATCTTTCTACTTCGTTTTACTAGTGCCGATCAATACATTTTCTGTGGTTTTTTTTTTATCAATACGCAGAGACCAGGGGGAATTACTAGAAGTCTAAGTGAAAAAATCCAAGCCCTTACCACCGGGGATTGAACCCGGAGCCTCTAGAACTCGAGGCGGACACCATGCTTCGAGACCACGCAGCCCCAGGTGTTGGCTGTGTGAGGTGAGTAACCCAACGGTCACGATTACCAACGCCACAAGATATAGAAGGTCATCTGTGACAGAAATGATTGGAAGTACAGGAGACAGAAGGTTGTTAATAGACATGCCTGTTAGCGCCACACGGAATACAACAACAGGGGTTCTCAACCTGCTGGTCGCGACCCTTTTTGGGTCGAACAACTCTTTCACAAGGGTCGCCTAAGACTATATGAAAACATATATTCAGTGAAGTTATGAAGAAAAATAACTAGGGGTCGCCACACGATGAGGGAACTGAATTAAAGGGTCACGGCATTAGGAAGGCTGACAGTCAATGAACTACAAGAACTGAGAACTGGCTGAGATTCCCACAAATATCTGTGTGGTTGTGTCTTCTTATTTATTCACCCGACCAATTTCAATCGGTTGTGTCCTGCTATGACAAAGACACCAAAAATTCCAAGTTGTACAGTGAAGATGGCTGCACTTTTCCCATTGTTGGTTGAGTTTCAACCCAGGAGTTGCTTCTTTTTCTATGTCTACCTTTTAAAATGACGCTGGCACCTAAAAAGGGCGGTTTGCAGCTAAGCTGTAATATCTGTGCCTTTCAGAGAATGAGAACAATGTACTGCCAGGAATATATCATTAGGGTTAGGAGAGAATAATACACCTAGGAGTGACCAGGTGTTCTGGTCGATAATCTACATTCAGACGAAAGGCAGGACTGACATAATCAAACTTCTCCTGCCACTACAGGAATTCAAAATCTTCACTGACTGCTGAAGATGAGAATAGAGCGTTTATAGGAATGCCCCAGAGTGCCTTATTGTCAACTGTGCCTTTCAGTTTAACAATTATAAGCAAACCATAAGGTATTCTTGTGTGAAATTTGAGTAATTTCACTTATTGCATTACAAAGATGCAAAATAGTATGTATGTTCCTTTCAGCAGCTGTGTGTTTTTTGTTTTTGTTTTAACAGTGTAGTTGTACCAGTCGTGTGCACATGTAGAAACTGGCCCAGACATCAGAACACATATTCCAAGACTGCCTGAATATGAACCATTATGACAAACCTTTTTGAGAAAAAAAAAAAAAAAAAAGCAAAAAGTACTAGTGGAAAATAAACTCTAAGGACCAATGAATGAACTGAAAACATTAAATATTTTTTAGGAAAAACAAAATAACAGATAAAAACAACCTATTTCAGGCCAAGGAAAGAAGGGAAAAAATCTCAGCTGATCTGATTTCATCCCTCGGTATATTTCTTTCGTGGTCAGCCTCTTGTTCTCGTATAGTACACTTAAGCTATTGAACTGGCGGCCTGCAGGTCAGATCTGGCCCGCTGAGGCCTAGCAAGTGGCTTGCTGAAGATTGCCAGTCATATTGTATTAATGATCTGTCTATGCTGGGACTTAAGCCTCAGGCAATCCCTGATTTCAAAATTTTGGCCCTGAACAAATTTAGTTGAATAGCCCGGCTCTGAGGAGCGGCTGGCTGAATGGTTAGAATGCTGGGCTCTCAAGGGGAGACCCAGGTTCGAATCCTCTGTTAGGCTGGGGATTTTTTTCTGTCGGGGGAAAAATAAAATTCTCACCTGCACAGTTGTGGCGACAGCACTAACCATGTGGCCTTCAATCCTCAGGTTCAAAGACTCCCTCTGCCTACACCACAAAAGTGGTATTATAAAGGCAGTAATTCGCAGCCCTGCTCTAGCTACTGGCCAATTTTTTTCTCCATTCTGGCCAAATAACCAAATCATTCAATCCTTTGATGTTCTATATCATTTACCGGTACCAGTCATACACTGCTCTAAAAATGATAAAACAGAGGCAGTAAAGATGTTTACATATTTATTTATATAGGGTCTTTAGTGATACGGCCCTCCTTGATGAGAAAGCTGTGGAGTTTTCTGGTCTTGTTCACATCAATCTTGATGAGCGTTCTGGCTTGTGCTAGCGGCAGATAACCCTGCTTAGCACACTCCGATATCAAGATTCTAGAGAAATCCAAGTAGGCTTGAGGCACTAAGCGCACTTCTGAACACATCTGAGGAAAAAAACAGACAACATGAGCACAAGTCGAAGGATGATATCCATACCACTATCATAACCAATGCACGGTGGTCTGCTGTCAAACTGCCTGCTGTTGGAATTGAATCCGGCACCCAGGCATTATGAAGCATATTCACAACACCTAAGCTACTGACATTGATTGCCTTTAGTGAGGCTTAAAACAGCAATAAATGTCAATCTTCTGTGATAACCATGAGGCCATCTTGAACTTCCAGTCACACAGACTAGTGTAATTAAAGATGATGACAGTGTGATCTGCTATTTCAGTGGAAAGCATTCACTTTTTTTCCGGGCCTCAGTATATTTTGTTGTAACTCTGTAGTAATGCTAAAGACATTAAACTCTGCAATATACTGTATTTTTCCTTAATGATTAAATTTATAATGAGACAACGTTGGCGTCTGTGGCTTAGGTGTTGCTTTGTCTTCTTCTTCTTCTTGTTCACCGGCTGTGAATTCCGGCGGTAAGTCACGGTTGTTCGTCCAAAATGGACTTTTGGCTTTTACCTTGACCTGAGTTTTGCGTGTACATCCGTTTTACTGGCTTATTTGTTTGCAGTACTCGTTCCCCGCCTCTCAGGCAGATGTACTCCGACTTCGGAGGAATGTTGCTTTGTAATACCGGGGTGCCTGGTTCGATTCCAGACATGGGCCGTGCTCTGGTTTCGACAGTGGTATTGAGAAGCCAGCGGTCCAGAAAGCAATGGCAAACTGCTGGATGTAAGTTTACCTAGAAAAACAACAACAGCTAATGCTGGGGTTGGTTCTGCAATGTCCTGTAAAGGATGCCCAACTAATGAGACAAAAGTGTTTTTAATATATATTACTGGCAAAATCAATCAACCTTCTTTCATTCACCCTTACCCGCACAGGACTAGAGGAGACATCATGGCACCACTTGGTCGGGCTGTTACGGGTGCCTTAATTATAACCTCCTAGGAGGTTATCTTGTTATCTGGCCCACAGATGTGCCTTCCAGGATGCTTCTTCTGAGGATTCACTAGCTGTAATCACTGCTTAAAAAGTTCTGGTTTTTCACCCACTTTTAGACTTCAGTATTGTTCTAGAACTTGAGTATTGTGTGCACATCCATTTTACAGATCTGCTGACTTATGTGTATGCAGACTTGGTCCCTCACTCCTCGAGTAGATGACATCTGATTGTGAATGAAACATCCCTAATTAGTTTTCTTTTACGGCAATTAGTTTACTTTCATAGCACACTTCTAAAGGAAGGTTGGGGGGGGGGGGGGGGGTGGAGATTGTGGGTAAACATTTCCCCACCCCTCTGCCTCAAATGGGGTCCCGGACCCACAGGGGACTCCAGAATGCAACAACTTTTGAAGTTGCAGGGGCATTGTGGTGTCAGGCAGTCAACTATATTTAACGCAATGCACTTAAAACATGTATTTTCAGGCACTCATGTAGACCTACCTCTCTCTCAGCCTCTGAGAGTTTTTCATATCCTGGCAAGCCATCAATGTTGAGCCGTGGAATCACCTTTTTGGCTGTGGATAAACAATCATCATTATTTATTTGAATAAAGTGGGAAGAACAGTACCCCATAAATTCTCACAACGAACATATATATCTTTTGTACAAAGAACAAATAAAACTAAGAGGTAACCAATGGAATTATTTGGAGTAATTGATTATAACTGACTTCACACAGACTCTTTCCCTCTGTCTTTCTATCACATTTATGCATGCATGCACACCCACATATCTATCTTTCTGGAAGGCAGATCTTGTTGTTGTTCCTTGGAATCAGCCTAAATCTGTAATTTCCCCACAAAAAACGTAACAGAAAATTAGTAACCATGGAAATGAGGTGACTGAGAAAGGCTGTAGGAGTGACCAGAAGAGATAAAATCAGGAATGAGGCCGTCTGAGATAAAGTCGGCACAGAATCCTTCTAAATTACATACAAAGACAGCAAATCAAAAGGTTTGCCCACTTGGAGAGAAGAATCCCTTCTGATGCTATACCATTCAAGGCATATACCAAAAGAGGAGAGGGAAGTAGAGCAAGAGGTAGACCAAGAACATTATGGGAAGATAACATCAGAGAAACTCTACAGTACCATGATGTGTCTTTGGTCGAAGCAGCCAGAAGAGCACAAAGCAGGACCTTTTATCTCTCTCGACACCCAAAGCGGTTAAATAGGACGTAAAGAAGAATGCACTATAGATCTTTCTCAGACTTAACACAGAGTTAGAAGTGAACTGCAGCTGTAGACAAGTCCAAGCCTGATCTTCTTCTTCTTCTGCATTCATCTGAAGATGTAACTGGAGCCCGTCTGCAGCACGGCTGCCATATTTGAGCCTTTTGGCTGATACATCTGACTTCTGCCAGCATTAGTTGACCGGGTTAGCCTTCCTGGCAGTCCCTGCCTGGTTGACACTTCAGGTTACATTGCAACTGTTGGAGACCCCAATGTCATCAACCTTACGGTTAAATGCGGATTACCGAGATTTGTATAGGTGGGATTCTCATCTTTGAGGTGTTAATTCTGTTGACTGCAAATCTGGAGGAAAACAGACCACCTACCTGTGAACAACAGATGGTCAAAAGTGAATAGCACCAGTGGGCAACACACAGAACTGATTGCATCAGTGGACATGTGATACAGTTTACTTCTAACTATTCCCTCTTTGTAGGAGGAGAAAACAAGAAAAGACCCACTGCCTGCCCAAAAAGCATGTCAAAAGAGTTGACTAACTGGGAGCTTCCTTTGAAGTCGGAGTACATCTGCCTGAGGGACAGGGAACTAAGTCTGCATGCAAATGAGTCAGACCTGTGAAACGGATGTATAGGCAACACTCACGTTCTGGAACAGGACTAGAGTTCAGAAGTGGATGTACAACCAGAACTTGCTGGAGTTTCGCTGGAGTTTACAGCCGGTGAACGCGAAGAAGAACAAGACTTCTAACTATATGTTGTCCACTTCTAACTATATGTTGTTCACTGGTATAGTTCACTTCTAACTTTATGTTGTCCATTGGTATAGTTCACTTGTAACTATATGTTGTCCATTTGTGTAGTTCACTTCTAACTATATGTTGTCCATTAGAATAGTTCACTTCTAACTATATGTTGTCCATTGGTATAGTTCACTTCTAACTATACGCTGTCCACTGGTATAGTTCACTTCTAACTATACGCTGTCCACTGGTATAGTTCACTTCTAACTATACGTTGTCCATTGGTATAGTTCACTTCTAACTATGTTATCCACTGGTATAGTTCACTTCTAACTATATGATGTCCATTGGTATAGTTGACTTCTATGTAAAATTATCTAAATTTTATCAAAATACTGATTGGCTCAGAAGGATGGAGTTATGACAGTTGATGAATGCTGCAGATGAGACAACTAAAAAAAAAGGCTAAGAGGCAGAGAACACACTGCCTCTACTGATGTATGTCTGTGAACGATAACAATGAATTAACCAGATTTACAGAACTAGAAGCCTCAATGACATGGTGCATGCTGATTTGTTAATCTACTACAATCATTAACCCTGAGTGACTTCTCGACTCTGTTATTTTCAACAGGAAATAATGGTGATTAATTTGTCTCAAATTCACGAAATTAAACATCAAAAACTCCCTTATCTGTGGGTTTTGGGGTCTGACTTTGGGGAGAAAACAGAATAGACCCACTGTCCCTTCACACAAAAAAAAGGTAAAAGTCGGGAGATGTGAGCCAGCGTCATTGCACACGGTTAGAAACCATAAGTGCTCTGCCACCAGTACGGACAGCTGATAAGAGCCTGTCGGCCTGTGTCACCGTCCGCATGAAACTCTGTAGATACAGCGACGTTCCTCTATTTACCCCAGAGTGTTAACTCTGGTATCCTTTTCCTAGAAGCTGGGTAAACCCTGGGAACCGTCTTGTTTTGAACACTGGCCATGGGCTGCAGCGAGTCGCAGCTGGATTTGAAAGTGAGTCCCTTATCGACTGCACTAACACAGCCCCCTGTCCCTTCACAAGTATGTTCTAAAACCCCACTAATTCAGGATTCGCTGAAATCTGACGTGTTGGGCTGAAAGGTGCAGATACCACAGCCTAGCTGAAAAAAAATACTCACGGAGTACTGGAATATTAGCCAGTGAAGTTTTGGAACATCCTTCAACTATGGTTTGTTTAGCAAGCCAAGAGAGACACGACTGCTCATCCTGCAAATAACATACACCACACACAAAATTAAGTTAATTAAAAAATTGGTTGAATGGTTTCGAAAATGGGGTCCATCTCTGGTTCATGCTGACCTCAATGAAGGCCATTTGGATGCCTGTATAAACCAATGGTTTCCAAACTGTGCAGCATCGCCTCTGGGGAGCACTGAAATGATCAAAGAGATCGGGCAGCAAATTTTGTTTTCTTGCTATAAATTAACAGAAGAAGGTTGACTCCACTCCTGATCCCCTGGTAGATCAAAAGGCCTTCTCGAGCTCATCATCAATCAGCAGGTCTTTGACAGAATGTAGCTCTCGTCACGGCACGCCTGAAAGTCTCTCTTTCTCCAGCCTGATTTGCTGTTATAGGTATAGTATCTTCAATGTCGTGTTATCCACTTTGGCGGAGGTCTGCCTCTGTCTCATTTTCAGGATACTGTATACTCCATCATCGTGCTCTCCCAGCCACCATGACAGTTAAAATGGCCAAAATACCCCAGCTTTCAGGACAGGTTACGAGCCAGTTCTCTTCAATGCTCAGATCATGTTGACTGTCCGTGTTTATCTTCTTCTAGGTCCATGGTTTTCTAAGAATTTTTCTACAGCATTTCAGTGCAAAAGTTCAAATTTGTTTTTTAAATGGCTAAGTAAAAGTTCCGAAACGTCACAAAAGTTTAGAGAGAACAATAATAAAGGGGTATTTGCCTGGGAGGAGAGGAAGAGTAAGGCCAAAGAGAAGATGGGTGCAGGATGTGGTGGATGATCTCCAGATGGGTGTATCGGACGCGGGACATCTTGCTTGTGATCAACAAGTTTTCCAGAGGGTTGTTTTGGGAGCAAAGTTCTGCAAAGGACATGCTACTGACTGACTGACCGAAGTAGAAGTCAATAAGTCACATTATAAGTTACTCAGGAAAGATGCGTGATCACAACTTTGTTTACTTTAACTCACTTGCAGGAAGCTGCTGCAGGCTAGCGGTTAGACACCCACTTGTGGATCAGAAAGTCATGGGTTTAGGGTCTGACGGATGTTCACATCACCCACCGAGTGCCGATTAGTCTATAAAATATAGATCTAGCCCTATAAACCCAAATACATCTGAAGGGGTCCTCTACAATTTGGTAAAAAAAAAAAAAAATGTGCAATAGACTCAGTGTAGATTCAAACCCAAGTCCATCTAGCTACTGCAGCATTATAGCTTCTACAGACTGTTTCCATGGATTAAATCTGTTCAACCATGTCTCCCTGAGAAGCCACAAACCTGACAATATCCAGCCGGGTTCCAATTCCCCATAAAAGTCACTTTACCGACTTGCTACAGTGACATGTTCACAAGAAGGAGAGCTACCAGCACTAATATCCTATGCATCTGTGCAAATGTTTAGCAGGACTGGAACTGAGTATATTTACCAAAAATAGCATCTGAAGGGGGGTTTCTTTGTGAAAAATGACTTTTTAAATATAAAATATGATATGACATATTATCCCATTAGACTTGTTGTTCCCCAGCGACTGGGTTAGGGGTCACCATATAAATGAGAGGTAATTCAGTTAATTCTCTGCTGCATTCGTGTTTACTAAGCACCCTTCTTAATCTGTACAGAAAGTAATACTGTTCTGGTTCACAAATGGGGTTGTTAGAATTTTTCTTGCGGCCTGCGTAGACAGTTCTTTTTAAAGGATTCTTTTTATTGGAATTCTTGAAATACAGGTAACTGGTTTTTTTTTCTAGGTCACAAGGGCGAAAGGGTTAAGGAAATAAATCTGACTCAAATATTCTCAAAGTTGGACACACTGAGAGTCCTTAGTCAGAAATGTAAACAACAATTATGTGTGAGCAAAAGAGGAATGAACTAATTCAAAAACATATGTTAATACTATGTACATTATTTAATATGTGAGTGGCACATCTGATGCTGCATCATCATTTCTTTAAACTAGCACACACACAAAAAACACAACAATAAAAAAAAACTGTATTCTGGGATAGAGAGAAGAGTTTTCTAGAAACATGTCCTATCCACACATCTCCACGGTCATTCTAGAAACAAGGTCCCAATAGTGAGCTTGGCCAAAATAGACAGGACTATGTTTCCTTTGAAGTTGAAGTGCATCTGCCTGAGAGGCAAGGGACAAACAGTCAGCACACAAATATGCCATATCTGTAAAACAGATGGGCACACAACACCCATGTCCTGGAACCATTTCTACTGGCCACACACAGATCTGATTTCTATTGGAGAAAAGTCAGTTTTATATATAGCAGTAAGTAACTGTGTATACTCTCGTTTGTATTTGTGGTATGGTAGATTTACTTAATGTGCTGATGAAGGCTCTCTAGCTGCAACATTTACTTATCGTTTGTGATACTGTGAAACTGACTGGTTCTATTTTTGTTTGGTTTGATATCTTATCATGAAGTCCTGAAAACAAGACAAAAGTCCAGAAGTGGACAAATAAAAAAAATCTTTCTCCCCCGAGTTTACGGCCAGAAAATGTGCAGAAGAAGAGAATAAAATTTCCTATATGCGAGACTAAAACACACGAAATTAACTATATGTGAGACTATTACACGGGAAAAAATTAACTCTATGCGAGACTAAAACACAGGAAAAAATTAACAACAGCAAATAAAAAAAAAGAAACCAAACACTGACCGTGACGTGACTAATCACATCAGTAAAATTATGTCGCTGGGATTTCATGTGTTCTCGTCTCTTCTTCATCTGGTAAAAGGCCTTGACCGACCTCAGTCTGGTGATGCCGTTCCTCCTGTACTCTTGCAGGCTGAGAATGTCAGACTTGAGCTGTTTCTTATCTGAATGGAAGGAAAGGTCACGGACATTACTGCAGCTTTTCAGAGGAAGAGAAGAGGATGTCTGTGAAAGAGAAGTGTGGATGTGTGTGAAAGAAAGGTGTGAATGTGTGTGAAAGAGAAGTGTGGATGTGTGTGAAAGAGAAGTGGATGTGTGTGAAATAAAGGTGTGGATGTGTGTGAAAGAGAAGTGGATGTGTGTGAAAGAAAGGTGTGGATGTGTGTGAAAGAGAAGTGGATGTGTGTGAAAGAGAAGTGGATATGTGTGAAAGAGAAGTGGATGTGTGTGAAAAAGAAGTGGATATGTGTGAAAGAGAAGTGGATGTGTGTGAAAGAGAAGTGGATATGTGTGAAAGAGAAGTGGATGTGTGTGAAAAAGAAGTGGATGTGTGTGAAAGAGAAGTGGATGTGTGTGAAAGAGAAGTGGATGAGTGTAACAAAGAAGTGGATGTGTGTGAAAGAGAAGTGGGTGAGTGTAACAAAGAAGTGGATGTGTGTGAAAGAGAAGTGGATGAGTGCAACAAAGAAGTGGATGTGTGTGAAAGAGAAGTGGATGAGTGTAACAAAGAAGTGGATGTGTGTGAAAGAGAAGTGGATGTGTGTGAAAGAGAAGTGGATGAGTGCAACAAAGAAGTGGATGTGTGTGAAAGAGAAGTGGATGAGTGTAACAAAGAAGTGGATGTGTGTGAAAGAGAAGTGGATGTGTGTGAAAGAGACGGAAGAAACTGTAGCAGGCTTGCCCGTCTGCTTGGTGATCATAGTTGTTAAACTTCCTGGGTTTTTGGAAAAACTAACAAAATTTCTTTCCAATACTTCTTCTTTTCCTCTAGTTTCAGGCATTTATAGCAATGCCTTTATTGTCAATGATTGTTACAGGACAAAAATGGTCAAATTAACCACCCCCCCCCCCCCCCCCAAAATGAATAGCTTTCTATCACTTAAGAGTGCATTACCATAATAAGATTCAAAAGATGACTTTAATTTTACAGATTTGTATAGGGTGAGAGTGTAAAATTAAACTCCCAAAAAAGAGTAAAAACTGAACAGCCTTCTATCACTTAAAACTTATTTAGTCCTCTTGGGCCTAGGGTGGCGCATAGGGCAGAGTTCATAGCTCTGCATGTCTGACGATTAGTTGCCATCTGTTGTAGGTCTTGGATGTTTGTTAGGCCCATGGTTGAGCCTTCCCTGATGATGGTTCTATGAACAGTCTTGGTCTTTCCCGTTTTCTTGTATCTTCCGGTGTACTCTTAAGAGTATTGTGCTACCAGTGACAAACACAGACCCTTACTACAACTAATGAGCGGAAGATCGCAACAACAGAGAAGAGATGTCTTAGGAGAACTGCTGGTGTGACAAGAAAAGATAAAATCAGAAATGAAGAAATTAGAAGACTAGGACTGAAACCAGTCATACAATTCATTAAAGAACAACGAATAAGATGGTTTGGCCACCTGATGAGAATGCCCTGGTACCAACTGCCACATTGAGCCATGCTGAAAAATAAAATGAACACAGAGCAAGGGAAAGACCACGCAAGAGATGGACAACATCATCAGGAGCAACCTAACAGAAATGAACACAAACTTGTTCAATGCATTATAAAAAGTGAACAAACGATCCTTACATCTCCCCACAACACCTCGCTAAGGTAAATTGTGGAAGAGTGCATTACCATAATGAGATTCACAGGCGGTACACACAAAGATCCACTAAGAGAAACTTTCAGCAGGGAGATGGCACTTGGTCATCACCAAGAAGAATAATGCCAAAAGGTAAAATACACACAAAAAATGACGTTATAGACACAACTATCTTAGAACAGTTTTAACATCTCACACAAGATGCCTTGCAGAGGTCAGAAACAGAGTAAAAGTCATTCACCAATAAGATGTGAATTGGGGGAAGACAAATAGTGATAAACTGCCATATGGAACCTGTGCTGTTACATGCAAGCCAGAAAACAATAGGCAGACAAGCTGAAGAACATTAACTTGCGACTGAAAAAACATTTGTGCGCGGCAGAGATGTGGTTTTGAGAAGAATGCAAAGAATATCTTCTTCTTCTTCTCTTTCACCTTGTACCTCATCGAAGTGTTCGGGGAGAGATTAAATATTTATTGATAAGCTCTGTCAAGAGCACTATTAAGACTGATGTTCATTTCTGTAAGGCTGTAGGAATACCAAAGAATGATAGAAACACACAGAAAAAAAAAGGATAGAAACACATACGAAGCAGTCCTCACTCAGATATAATTTACCTTTAAAAGGACAGTCGACATGTGGTTTACAGCTAGAGTGTGATATGTGTATCTTTCATCACAAGGGATCAAATTTTAGCAAATCAGTTGCCTTTTACATGCGAGCAGGGGAGCATTAGGTCTAACCCACATAGGAAACACCTTTTTAAAGGTGACAAGTTCCAAACTGGTATACCTTCAATTCTTATTGTGTCTGTTTGTCTACTGAACCTCACTTATTTTTATCTCCTATTATCTTTCATAAGCCCAAACACAACACATTTTAACGTCCCTGTTAAAAATCTGAAATAATGAGGATATGACTTACAATTTAAACTTTCCAAATATTTATCAAACGTGACTGGAGGAAACAGACGCATAAACGGCCGCAAGAACTCCAGCGGTATGTTGTTCTCGTATCGTCGTTTCAACATACCTGGGAAAGTTAAAAGTTCTGTGTAACAAATTGAGGCAACAGCTTGAATCATAACTAAACCGAACGTACAAGAACTTATACAAACGGCAATTTTTTCAAATGATCACGCTTGGTCTGGAGCAAACATCAAAAACCATCAATCATGATTAGAATCTTCTTTGTTGTCTGTTATTTTCATTTATTAGTGTTGCTTCTTCTTCTTTACTTCATCCACTTACTTAATTTATGTGTTGGAAGACATGTAAAGATATTCTGTGTTTTTTTTGTTGATGAACTGTATAAGTCAATCTTTTTTTCTTTAAGGCTGTCCTTAATGATGTCATTCCATTTGTGTCCAATACATTTCTGCATCGTGGCAATTTGTACCAGGGCATTCTCGTCAGATGGCCACACCATCCAACCTGTTCCTCTACAATAAAATGTACGACTGGTTTTAGGGCTAGCTTTCTTTAAATTTCTTTACTTTCAATTTTCATCTCATCTTGTGAGTCCAGCAGCTCTTCTAAGACATCTCATCTAGTGAGTTCGGCAGCTCTTCTAAGACATCTCATCTTGTTGAGTCCGGCAGCTCTTCTAAGACATCTCATCTTGTGAGTCCAGCAGCTCTTTTAAGACATCTCATCTTGTGAGTCCGGCAGCTCTTCTAAGACATCTCATCTTGTTGAGTCCAGCAGCTCTTCTAAGACATCTCATCTTGTGAGTCCGGCAGCTCTTCTAAGACATCTCATCTTGTTGAGTCCAGCAGCTCTTCTAAGACATCTCATTTTGTGAGTCCAGCAGCTCTTCTAAGACATCTCATCTTGTGAGTCCAGCAGCTCTTCTAAGACATCTCATCTTGTGAGTCCGGCAGCTCTTCTAAGACATCTCATCTTGTGAGTCCGGCAGCTCTTCTAAGACATCTCATCTTGTGAGTCCGGCAGCTCTTCTAAGACATCTCATCTTGTGAGTCCAGCAGCTCTTCTAAGACATCTCATCTTGTGAGTCCAGCAGCTCTTCTAAAACATCTCATCTTGTGAGTCTGGCAGCTCTTCTAAAACATCTCATCTTGTGAGTCCGGCAGCTCTTCTAAGACATCTCATCTTGTGAGTCTGGCAGCTGTTCTAAGACATCTTATCTCTGTTACTATGATTTTGTGCTCATCAGTTCATGTTTCTTTTTCTTTGTTCACCAGCTGTAAGCTCCGGCAGAAAATCCTGGTTGTTCGACCATTCTGACTTCGACTTTATGTCAGGCCTGAGTTTGGTATGTACAACCGTTTCGCTGACTTATTTGTGTGCAGTTGGTTGTTCCTTCGTGTTAAGGCAGTTGAACTTTGAAGGAAGTTTCCTACAACATGCCTCTTGGGGAGGTAGTGGGTCTATCCTTGTTCTCCCCGCAATGGGGCCCTGGAACCCCCACGGAGGAAGTTCATGTTTGACACTGGAAGCATAAAGTGGGCAAAAAACATTAGATCTATCTTGGTAGACAACAATTATGCATGCACCAAAACTGGTGTTCGTTGTCCCAGTGCTTACGTTATTGTTCAAATTGTCACAGCTGTTTCAGCTTTCCACAAAGATTACTGTCTTCATCTACCTTTCTAATACAGAATGTTCCCAGAGAGGGTTCATTTCCCAAACCCATCTACGTATAAACTCAATTTCTCTGTTTCCAGCTGATTTTGTATTACATGAAGCTCTCAATAAAGACATCATCATTTTATTTTGAAATTTCCGTTTTACAATCACCTCTCTAGTGTTGTCAGTTATCTCACTGTTTCATTTCAAATTGCCCAGCATTCACATACATACAAAAGAACAACCACACACTAATTATTTTTAACTGTTAGATTACTAATGACAATTTAAACCCTGCTTCCTGTAAAAAAAAATGAATCAGTTAATGACTGAATAAATCCAGAACTGACACCCCTTCCTCTTTTTCTGTCTTTGACATCAGTCATGCTCAACATTAAGTCCCGTCTGGTTCACAAATAGGATTGTGCGTTTAAGGTCGCCACCGGTCTCCCATAGTTTCTCTTGCAATGTAGCTCCTTTGGGCTAGATCCATAGTCTTTTCTGGGACAAGTTAGAGCAGTACTGCAGTATATGCTCGGGGGATTCTTTTATGCCTATCCTGTGCAGGTGTGCTTGAAGTCCACAGTGTCCTGTTGGAAGTCTTAAAATTGATGTTTGTTCTTTCCTGTTGAGTTTGTTTATGCTGTCACTCTCTGGTCTGTAATATCCATTCTGCCTTCTTTACTCCCGCTTGAAAGATTGCTTTAGCGCTGTTTTGGTTTCTTTGTAGCTGTGTGGTGGATGAGGTTGTGGAAGATTACTCCCAGCTTTTGCCAACTCATCTGCTCTCTCATTTCCTTGAATACCACAGTGGGCTGGTATCCACTGCAAGACCAGTTCTGCTTCCTTGGAGAGTAAGCCAATGTTGGTCCTTAGATCGGCAATTAGTTTGTCTTGTTTTTTGCTTGACAGGCCGACACCCCTGCACTCAGGGCCTTCTCACGTATCTCTGCCCCCTCCACCCACCCCCCTCTCAATAGCAAGCGAAGAGTCATATACTGATGTTGCCAGCTGAAACCTACTAATCTGGTAATCCTAGTTTCAGCTTCATAGCAAACGGGTCACCCCATAGTTGCTCTGCTCTTGTGCCAATGAAAAACACTTGTAGCTCACAGTGTCACGCCATGCACTCAACTCAGAAGCTGGGCGACGAAACTATATCCTTCCAGTCTACAAATGGCACAAAAATGCAACGGCCACCACCCGACAGAAGCAACCAAAAAAAAAAAAACATTTGCCACGGCTAAAAAAAAAAAAAAAAAAAAAAAAAAAAAAGGGGGGGGGGGGGGGGGGGGCATTGCCTAGCGCCCATTTTGACCTGAAGCATGTCTTTTCCTCTGTGCATTAAAATCTCCCAGCTCACTCCTCGCTGTAAAAATTTTAATCAGGTGATCTACATGGATGTCAATCATGATTATTTACTGCTCTCTACAATCATAATTACTTTGTGCCATCTACATTCATAATTACTTAATAATCAGAATCACTAAGGGCTGCCTATAATCCCATCTGCCATACCTATGACCATAATTGTGAACTTACCATACCACTTCCGGACATTAATGAGACCGTAATCTCGTATCATTCTGTAAGAAGCAGCAAGTGAAAAATATTTTGACTCCTTTAATTAAATACAAAATTAAACTTGGACTTCAACATTTGAACTGCAAAGTGGCAACACACACAGTGGCACAAACACTGTACACATACAGTGGTACAAACACTTTACATACAAACTGGTACAAACACAGTACACACAAAGCAGCATAAAGTATTTGTGGTTGAAGTAACTTGCACAGCTAAGAAGAGCAACCCAGATGTTTTGAAAGAGGTGTGTGCTCAGAGACAACTTATCCCAAACATCAGAAAAAGACAGTCATCATTTTTTAGTCATGTTATGAGAAAAGGGAAAATGAAGCATGTTGTGACCACTAAAACAATCTTTGGAAAGAGAGACAGAGAAAGACAACAGGAGAAGATTCTTGACAGCCTTTTGTCATGGCATGGAGAGGCGTCAACACACAAACTGATGCACGCTGCTGCGGATCGCAGATTGTAGAAAGGCATGATTGCCCACACCAGTCGGCAAGGCACTTGATGGTGATGGTTGAAGTAACACAGGGAGCTGGGGTGGCTCAGAGGTAGCAGGCTAACCCGTCAGGCCAGTAAGCAGGCTTAGCCGTCAGGCCAGTAAGCAGGCTAAGCCGTCAGGCCAGTAAGCAGGCTTAGCCGTCAGGCCAGTAAGCAGGCTTAGCCGTCAGGCCAGTAAGCAGGCTTAGCCGTCAGGCCAGTAAGCAGGCTTAGCCGTCAGGCTGGCAGTCTCATTTATTTAGATGCAGACAGCACTAAGAGCTATTCAACTCCTTCTTTGTGTTCTGATTATTGATTTAAGAATTGACATCATAGCAGACCGGGCATACCCATAGATGCTGCGTCTCCCGCAGCAAATGACGTAAGGTGTAGATGCTAACTGTTCTCGTAGCACACTGATTATACACATGCAGATTTTTTCCTCTCATCTGTCCCTCCTTGCCGGATCCATAATTAATTCTTGCCCATGTCATTGCATCTAATCACGTGTTTTCTGCCAAAAGTCGTTCATATATGGACTTTAGAATATCTCCTTTGTCCAGTTCGCTTTTGTAGCCAGAAAATGCGCTCTTTCATTCCCTTGCACTCCTGCATGTCCTGGACAATATATCCATGTGATTCCCTGCAATGTTGGCGTGGTGCATGGTATCCACTCATGCCACATTAGTCCATTTGGTGTTAATAAGAAGCGTTGTGGGAGCCCTGCACTGGCTGTAAACTCGGGCAGAAAGTTCTGATGGTTTCTTCTTCTTCGCGTTCACCAGCTGTACACTCTGGCGGAAAGTTCTGGTTGCTCGTCCACTACTGAACTGCAGTCCTGCTCCAGAACCTGAGTGTTGCATGTGCATCAGTTTTACAGATCTCATTCTCTTGAATACAGACTGTTGGTTCCTTGCCTCTCCGGCAGATGCACTCCGACTTCAAAGGAAGCTCCCCAATTAGTCGACTCTTATGACATGCTTTTGGGGAGGCAGTGTGTCTATTCTTGTTTTCCCCACAATGGGGCCCCGGAACCCACACGGGGGTGATGGTTTCTGAACTTCAGACTTGTTCCAGAACTTGAGTTTTGCCAGCATTCTCTTTTACAGATATGGCTTATCTGCATGCAGACTGCTGGTTCCTCACCTCTCTGGCATACACACCCGGATTTAGAAGGAAACACCCCTAATTTGCTGACTTTTACAACATGCTTGTTACAGGGACAGTGGGTCTAGCCCTGCCCCCTCCCCCTCGCCAACCAAACAAGGCTATGGAACCCCACACAGGAACCTTAAAGGTAGGAACAGAATGATGATGAACACATGATAGAATATAGTTTGATATGAAAAACAAATTAGGTAAGTGAAAGGGCATTTGACATATTACGTTGTGGTTTACAGCCAGGCTGCGATTTCTGCGCCGCTCGGCCCAAATTATCCAGCTTCAGCACACCCTCAATTAGTTGCCCTTTACAAAATGCTTTGGGGGGGGGGGGGGGGGGATGTTAAACACACAGAGAGGGTCTATTCCTCCTCCTTAAAGTGGAATGCACTCTGCAACAGGTCTGTTACATGAGGATGATAGTGTCTATACTTTACTTACTTTTTCCGCCTCTGTCTCTCTCGCAAGCAGTGCCAGTAAACATCCAGGGCTGCCAAACTCAGTTCTGCAAGTGGAGAATTCGTAGATAGAAAAAACAGATCACTTAAAACTTCTCATTAGCATCAGGTTAACAAAACTGCTTCTATTCTATGCAGGCACCAGGCAATAAATATTCATAATAAATAAATACAATAAACTTGGGCGTACAAGTCAACCTCAAAATTCTGAATAAGGCATACACTTACCAAACTTATTTGATACCCCACCACATAAGTCAGCCCCTAGTTTTAGAAAGATTTTCAGGCTTAAATACTCAACCTATCACTGTAATTTACAGGAATAATTTGCTATTCTCCATATCTATGTTTCATGTCCGTGTATGAGGCTGAGAGATTACAAGGTCAGTTCATAATTCTGAAATACCCAGTTGGAGTCCGGTCCAGGTGATTTAGCAGCAGACTGCTGTGTGGTGATTTCAACGACGGTACGAAGCGTCGACCAATCAGAAAGAATGGCAAACTAATGAAGCAAATGCTGAACGTAAAACTGTCTTGTAAAACCACAAACTATAGGGTGTTCAATAGCTCCCTTTACAGCGACTGAATAGTTGTATCTGCACCTGGACACTCTCATGACATGGCACGCAATAATTTACAAACTCTAAATATGATGACAGAAAAAAAACAGCAGTCTTTCTTGAGATAGATGAAAGTCGTAAACTGATTAAAGAAATTAGACATCAACAGGGTTTTTTTGACATATGATGAAAAGGACTGGGCCCAAGAGCTTTGCAATGACTGGCAAGATTGATAGACAGAGAGCAATGTTGTTGAAATGTTGAATGCTGAATTTAGAATCGACATCACAGCATATGGGACACCACCATAAGTGCTCCGTGCCCATCTTCAGCAAGCAAAGAGTTAAAATTCCGATGGTACCAGTAACTATCTGATTGTAAATCCATCATGCCTTCTCCGAGTGTTAAGTCATGTGTGCACAGCTGATTCTCAAGCCAGCGAAAGGCAGCAGTGACTGCCTCTACCTCCATGTTCATTATGGTTTCATATGACATTTCCCACAAGGATGCCTAGAGGAATTCAATGTGGCAATACATAGACGTGTTTCACTTTTTGTTTGTTTTTTAATAGAAAGAATGACTGTGGTAAGGTTTTCACTTATGATCCCGAATGCTGAATTAAGAATCGACACCCCAGCACTCGAGACACTCCCATAATCGCTCAATCCCTATCTCTAGCAATAAGTGAAGAGTTCCAATTCCGATGGTACCAGTAACTGTCTGATTGTACATCCGTCTCACCTTTTCCTTGAGTTATGATCCCGATACTCTAGTGAATCTTTTAGTAGCAAACACGTAAAAATTGTTACATTTTAATGGATGGATTCTTGACTAGAAATAAATCTGCCACTTTAGGGACTTCCCTGTGTGTGTGTGTGTGTGTATGCGTGCACGCACGCGAAGCATGCATCAATCATGCACTGGGGGTGAGCTAATTAATGCCAGCAGTTTTGCGCTTCATGATTTACAGCTCTGAGATACTCTGCCAGTTTTTGTTTTCTAACTGATCTGACACTGGCAGTTTTATATTCTAAGATTAATACTACATTTAATTTCTCTAACAGACATCATACCTCTGTACAGATGTTCATCATCTGGCTCCTTGACAACGGTTTCATCATCATCATCATCTTCATCAAATGTCATACGACAAATGTCCATCTCTATGAAATTGTCATGCTCAACATCGAAGTCACCCCGAGCCGCTGAGTATCCTCCCATTTCAAACGAGAGTGTTGATCCTTCAGGGGGACGAGGAGGGTTGTCGGACACTGATTTTAAAAAAAAAAGTCAAATTACTATATCCTAATAAGCACGTCGTAAAAGGTGAAAAAAAAAGAGGGGTCTGATTTCAAGTCGAAGTGCATCTGTCTGAGAGGCAAGGAACCAACAGTCTGCATATAAATAAGCCATATATGTAAAACATATATGCACACAAAACAAATTACCTGAATAAGACCAAAGTTCACAAGTGGATGATCAGTTAGAATTTTCTGGTGGAGTTCCAGCTAATGAATATGGAGAAGAAGATTTAAACAACATCTCATCTGAGAGACTGTCCCCACCTTCAGCAGCAAGTGAAGAGTTCCAATTCTAATGGCACCAGTAACCGACTGATTGCACATGCGTCTCGACTTTCCCTTGAGTGCTGAGTGTCGGCCAGATCCACTGGTAACCCCCCACAGCGCCATACTCCTGGTAGTTTTGAGTTACCGGACTGCCAAGGAAGAGAAGTGACTCAGCCAGCTCGATTTCTTAGACTGGGTATAAACAAAACCTTAAAGAATACATTTTTTTTTTAAAAACTGCTATGCTGCCAACAAACACTCAGCAGCTGAAAGTTTTTACCCACAGCCTATTTTTCTCTCGTCCCTGATCTACCTTTCTGGATTTGGATTTGAAGAGACATTCGGTGCAAGTTTTGGTGTGTGCTACGTACACATGGCCCCAAGAGAGTCCATCTATGCTGTGCGTGTGTGGGGAATCTCTAGCTCTACTTTCACTGTATCCAGTGGACAGAGTTCTCGGTGGTGCACTGTCCCCTAGCAGTCTTGATACCTACCCAAACCATCTCACCTGTTGTCTCTTGATGTAGTTTAGCACTGGTTCTGTCCTCACTGTCTTGATACCTGCCAAGACCATCTCACCTGTTGTCTCGTGATGTAGTTTAGCATTGGTTCTGTCCTCATCATTTTTTTCCTTATATTGTCATTTCTCCTGTCTCTTCTTATTATAAAGATTTTTTGGTATACTTTTTTTTTTTTTTTTACTGATTTAATTGTTTCAGGGCTAGATGATTTCTAAGGTCTATCAAACAGACCAGGGTATGTGTGATATACAGCTTTTGCATCTCACCTTAAAAGAGCTGCTGGCATACTGTGTTGCTGTTCACAGCTAGGCTGTGGTATCTGCGCCTTTCAGTCCAACACAGACTTCAGAATATTATCACTGCTGTACAGAAAAGGTTAGTGGATAATGATGCGCCTCAGACACTAACATGTGTCACTGGAAACATGTGGTGAGGCCCCAATCTTTTCAATGGTTTGACTCTCATGCCACTGTCAGGAAACCATGAAGATATTTATTTAAAAAATTTTTTTTTTTAAAAATCCATCTTCACTTCCTCTTTTACCACTTCGGTTGTCAAAGTAGATATAAGGCCTTGCTTCCTGTTCTTCTGGTTACCTCGGCCATATACACATCGTGCTGCTGTAGTTTCTTCATCTTTCTATTTGTTTGTAGTCTACCTCGTGCTCAACGTCCTTCTCCTCTTTCGGCATATGCCTTGTATGGCATGGCGTCACAAGGCATTCTCTTGAAGTGGGAAAAACCATCTGATTTGCTGTAAACATAAACCGCCAAGTTGAAAAATGGAACCTGGTACTTGAGGATCACGACTGTTAAATGCATTCACTTACCTCTCAGCCACAACTAGGGAGACAATTACTGCTACATGGCTGAACATACCAGAATGGCACAAGATGATGATGATGGTACTTACATTTAAAAACCACAGGGGCACCTCTGGTATAGTTTTCTCGATCCTCAAATACTGAGGAAATAAAACACACAATTAACAGTAAATTCAGACACACAGGACTAGACCTAAATTTTAGAGACCAATTGGCACTTGCTAAGTGGTGTGATGTATGGTGCTGTGGTGTGATGTGTGGTGCTGTGATGTGATGTATGGTGCTGTTGTGTGATGTGTGGTGCTGTGGTGTGATGCATGGTGCTGTGGTGTGATGTATGGTGCTGTTGTGTGATGTGTGGTGCTGTGATGTGATGTATGGTGTGATGCATGGTGCTGTGGTGTGATGTGTGGTGCTGTGGTGTGATGTGTGGTGCTGTGGTGTGATGTGTGGTGCTGTGTGGCGTGATATGTGGTGCTGTGATGTGTGGTCTGTGTGGTGCTGTGTGATGTGGTCAGCATCACACAGGCCTCATTTACTTCTCAGGATTTTTACCTGATACCTATTTAATGTATAATTTGGAGCTGTACCGAACATTCACTTTGTATTCGCTTCATGGCTGAATAGTAGATCTAATAACTATTCGGTCGAATACTTGCCGTCGGGCCGAATACGAATAGTGGTTACCTTACACACACTTCTGCATACACTGCCTTAAATGCTGACAACATGGAATGATTGATTCTGTTGAAAAGTAATGCCACTTTCCTGTATTAACTAAGTTGTCAGTGACAATTTACAAGCTCAGTTACTTATTATAATTCTTAGAATACTTTCATTCCTAGTTATTACTAACCACAGACTGACTGAAGGCTGCAAAAGATAAAATGTTTTCAAGTGTTTACTATTCCGTACTACATTTTTTGAACTAAAATTTCAGCGTACATTTGACATTATGAATGTTTTTTAGATTTATTTATATACTATATACTATTCGTATTCGGCCGAATAGTGCTAATCACGTTTTCGGTACGGCTCTAGTATAAATGAAAGTAGAACATTATATACAGCAATGAGAAGGAGACAAAGTTTGTTTGTTATGTAATGAGAAAAGCAGCACTGGAAAATATCATGACAACTGGAAAGATCACTGGTAGAAGAGGCAGAGGCATACTAAGAGAAATGAAGGTGGATGGCTTAAGACCGTGGAGGAATATTATCAGTAGAATTGATTCAGAACACCAAAGACCGAGATCTGTGGTGAGGCACCTGATAATGATGACCTATTAAAAGCTCGGTTGACCTGGGAGCCAAGGCCATATTTTTAAAAAGTCCAACACCACCCAGATTTGAACCCATGACATTCAACGCTGTAAGTGAGCATCACCTCTAGCTGCTACACCAAGGCAGCTCTAATAGTAAATGACATGGCAGTAAAAGTGTTTTACTGTGTTTGTATAATATAAAAAAAACATTTGACAGTGATGAACAGAAAGGTCATTTTAGACAACAGAAAATAACCACCCACCCCCTGCTCTGCTAGCAAGTCACAGGAGGTGACTAATTAGGGTGTTTCCTTCAAAGTGGAAGTGCACAGGTCTGAGAGGCAAGGAACCAACAGTCTGCATACAAATCAGGAAGATCTGTCAAATGGATGTGCGTGCAGTCTCAGTAGAACTGTGGGTGATCTAGAACATGGGTGAAAAAGGTTATTTAATGCCAGGAAGGATCTAAAATGACCAGTCTTAGTTTTATTCTTGTGCGAGTCTGTGTCGCCTCTGGGACAGTGTAGATGTAGAACTAATGCAGAATCAATCTACAGGTTCATGAACCCTGTACTTGAGCCTGACTGTGAGTTTCCCTAGAACCCTGACTATCTTGTCCAGCTGACTTCCTGTCCAGTCTGGACGTTGTCGGCTGCTGTCAGACTGAGTGGTTTGTGATTTTCAAAGCCAAAGGTCACGTCTGCTAGCGGCGTTCGAGACATGCTGTGTTAAGTGGTTGAACTGTTCTACCCTAGATGTATCTTCCCTCCATGTGCACTGCCCAACAAGACATGCTGTGTTAAGTGGTTGAACTGTTCTACCCTAGATGTGTCTTCCCTCCATGTGCACTGCCCAACAAGACATGCTGTGTTAAGTAGTTGAACTGTTCTACCCTAGATGTATCTTCCCTCCATGTGCACTGCCCAACAAGACATGCTGTGTTAAGTGGTTGAACTGTTCTACCCTAGATGTGTCTTCCCTCCATGTGCACTGCCCAACAAGACATGCTGTGTTAAGTAGTTGAACTGTTGTGCCCTAGATGTGTCTTCCCTCCATGTGCACCGCCCAACAAGTCAGCTGTGGTTGAATGAATGAAAACATTGCCAGCGATCACTCGTATGGCATTGTTCGTTGTTCACTACGTCAGTGTACACCTTGAGAAGTCTGCAACTGATCAGAGCCAGAATTTGAGAGAAAGGAGTGTCGCTGCAGAGGCAGACCAACAGAAAAGATAATGAATGGTTTAAGAAGGTGACAGAGAGAAATATTCTGCGATGAACTGAACCAGAAGATCATGAGCCAGGATCAATAAGGGATCCTGTTCCATCCCTTTAGACATAATGTGCATGTGGTGCTAAACCTAAATTTTATTGACAAATCAACACTTGCTGGGTGACCTCAGCATCCAATCCAGCCGCCTATACTTCCCAGGACTACATCTAGTACCTACTCAAGGCTGTGTCGACCTGTGGATAAGGGAATGATGAAGAAGTGACCACACACATGAGGCTGCAATAAGTCACAATGCCCTGTGAAATTAACAAGGAAAATAAATGCCCAAAGAAGTCAGAGGTGTTAGTCAAAAAGTACAAATATCAACAGCTATGCTGTATACATGCACAAGACATTACTTGGAAGAATGATGATGAAGAAGATTTCACTAGCCTGATAAAATGTTTCTCTCCATTTCTCCCTGATACTACCATCTCTACGTATTCTATCTCTACCTAATATACTTATATTTTCTTCTAAATGTTTCAGTTAATTATTCCAATCCTTTGTTTTTCGTTCCATTTATCTGTCTTTCCTCAAACCTCTTGCTAATGTGCTAGGATCCACTGGCTAAAAATGACAAAAACTTTGAAGTTCAAATTCTTGCTAGGGTAAGGACATAAATGGGCTAACACACACAGTACCTGGCAAGGGTGGTTGGGGATTCTCCACATAGTACTTGAAATAGTGCCTCTCACAATCTTCAGCACTTTTAACTCTCATTCTGCCACTTACAGGAACCCTGCGGGATATATAATCAGATTACATTACAAACAGAAATCAAAGTAAAATCCAACTCACATAAAGGTCTTCTATTTTAAGTGTTTTAAAACAAATGATGTGTGGACCAATTATTAGGCCTAGAAGCCAGATTTGGCCCAATGATCTGTTGACCAATTACTAGGTCTGCAGGCCGGATTTTGCCCAATGATCTGTGAACCAATTATTAGGCCTAGAAGCCAGATTTGGCCCAATGATCTGTGGACCAATTATTAGGCCTAGAAGCCATATTTGGCCCAATGATCTGTGGACCAATTATTAGGCCTAGAAGCCAGATTTGGCCCAATGATCTGTGGACCAATTACTAGGTCTGCAGGCCAGATTTGGCCCAATGATCCTTGATCAAATACTAAGCCTAAAGGGCAAGATTTGGCCCATTAATCCATTGACAAATTATTAGGCCTGCAGGCTGGATTTGGCCCCATGATCCATGGACCAATTACTAGGCCTGCAGTCCAGATTTGGCCCCATTATCCTGGACCAGCTACTATGCCTGGATGCCAGATATGGCCCAATGATCCGTGGACCAATTACTAGGCGTGCAGGCTGGATTTGGCCTACCAGTCAAAGAGCCCTTTTCTAGACAGTCGACGCTCATACCATTTTTGAATTCAGTGCAAAGTGGTCCGTTGCCACATCAAACCCAGGATGTCGAAGTTATGGAGCTACATTTGTAGACCCTGAACATCAGAGGTTGAAATCTGATTCATTACTGCCAGAGTAACTCATTACATCTCCAAAGAAAAGCAGTCAAGCCGTGTGCCTCCTGCTCTGAAGGTTGTATGTCCATTTCATGGATGTGTAATTCTGTTCACAAGAGCAGTTTCTTTAAAATGGTGGTTTTAATGATGACTTAACGTTTGTCCTCACAATGAGATGTATTTCCAGTGTGGTACTGTTAGTGTTGGCACATCTGACAGCTGCCTTATGCATTTTTACTGTGCCTGTGCAAACTTCAAGATTTCACTAGCGCTGACAAGTTCTGCACCAGTTTTCAAACAGGACAATGAAAGACATTTTGTGTGATTTCCACTGGCACAGGAAGGGAGCAGTTAGGGGACAAACCAGATTCATGAAAATGATTGCTGGAGCTGCGAAGTTAGCGCTCTGTGACATTTTCAGCAGGCAGCTAACCATTGTCCAGAGGGAAAAAAATACGAGCCTTATGGGGTAATCAGGAATATGAACAATAATTTACCTCACTTTTAACTTTAATTCATCAGATAATGGCATCCATATTCAAAAGAAATTTTGAAAGAAAGATTTGATCTATGGTTTCGGTAAGGAGCTTACCAGTTTCCAAGGCCGTACTCTTGTATACTTTCAAGCAAACGGATCTCCTCTGCTGCAGTCCAGCTGGGCTCAAACAGAGGAAAGTTATATCTCTGGAAAGAGAAAATGAGAAATTTAAACAGTGATACAATAATTCATGGCAGATTTATCATATATTAACAGCACCTATGATGTGTCTTAATCTTGGCATGGCAAATCCGTGTGCCTGCTCCGAGCCCCGATTTTGGGAAAGGAGACAATAATGAACCCACTCCAAACAAGCAGGCCAAAAGAAGTGGCTAATTTGGGGTTGCCTGAAAGTGACACAGATATTGCAGCTCAGCTGTTTACCACAACAAAATGTGCCAACCGCCTTTTTAATTCTTACAGTACCACGAGATGCATGGAGTAATTATCCTATCTTGTAAATCATAACCATGAGTGTTCTTTTAACTTATGTATTCTGTCAGAAAACTACTGAAATCTGGCTTCTACACTGGCCATTTCCACTTAAATGTCAGCACATCTTATTTTCAAAGGTGGTTTTTCTGTCTCTGTGGACATGTACTGCAGAACCTTTCTGGAACTGAAAGAGTTAAGGGTGAAACCTTAAGAATAACAAAAATAATTCATGATAATTTCCCCGTGTGGGTTCCAGGGCTTTATTGTGGGGAAAACAAGAATAGACCCACTGCCTACCCAAAGGCATGTCGTAAGAGTCGACTAATTGAAAGCTTCCTTTGAAGTCGGAGTGCCTCCGCCTGAGAGGCAAGGAACCAGCAGTCTGCATACAAATGAGTTAGATCTGTAAAACGGATGCACATGCAACACTCAGGTTCTGGAACAGGACTGCAGTCCAGAAGTGGACGAACAACCAGAACTTTCCACCAGAGTTTACAGCGGTGAACACGAAGAAGAATTCATGATATTCATCTTGGTGGCAGAGAATCTTGTTAGTTCCACCCCAAATGCTATGCTAAAGGTACCTTTGATATTGGCAAGGTCTTCCATATTGGACAGATCAAATGTTAGGAGCCAGACAAAGAGCGACATGGATCATAGGTAACACTAAAATCATAACAGCTGAAAATAATTTTTTTCTTCTTAGCATTTCCTGGCTGTAAACTCTGGCGGAAACTTCTGGTTATTCATCCACTTCTGGACTTTGGTCTTGTCCCAAAACCTGAGCTTTCCATGCATATCTGTTCAACAGATCTGGCTTCTCTGTATGAAGTCTGTTGGTTCCTTGTCTCACAGGCAGATGTACAGACCAAAGGAAAAATCCCCTAATTAGTAGACTCCTATGACATGCTTGTTAGAGGGCAGTGGGTCCCCTCCCCCTCCCCATAATGGTGCCCCGGAACACATACAGTGAGAAAAATTGTTACTTTTAGATCTGCCTTGACATACTTTGGTATTTTTCTTTGTGTCAGAAGTGGTGTTAGTTTATCAATATTTAGTTTATAGGGGTGTTCCGAGTGCTGTGACATAGATTCTTAATTCAACAGTAAATTCAACATCCTTACCACGACCATATATGAATGGTCACTTTCATGTTGGTCAAATTCAACGCCAAAAGAGAAACATCGTGCACAGATATGCTGGTACGGCTGACACTGAACACAACGGATCCACGGTGGCTCAAGTGGCGATCTGCATACTCTACAGACTGAACCAAAATTGTCACTGTCTTCTTTCAGCTCTGACTCTACGTCAGATACAGCAAACATGCTTAGCATCAGATGGTGCTGGTAATGTCCTTTCTTATTCTCTTGTGGATGATGTCATAAGCAAAACAAATCTGTAATGAGAACATACAGATCTGATTAGTATTGAGAAAAATTAAATGATTTGGTTAGAAACGACAATACCCAAATCTTGTTAATATTGAGAAAGGGTGTTTTCTACTAGAAAAATAGGTGCCAGTACTCACCATAAAGTGTCTAAAAAAGGTGCCGGTACTCATCACAAAGTACCTATTACAGTAGCGCTGATGAAATTATGCCTTTAAAAAAAATGCTGCTAGTATGTACCACTAGACTGCACACATTTAACAAAAAGTGCTGATAAGGGATGTGGTGGACACTGGCATCTTTTTTTTCTAGTTAAACGCACTGCTTATTACTAACAAGATTTGGGTATTGTGATTATTAACTGGGATGGGGGATATGGGAGTTTTTCAGTGGAGGTGTCAAGCAATTTTGAAATTTAGTACATTCCTGTTTAGGCTATCCTCTGAATAACGGCCAAAAACAGGACCTTAGTCACATGTAAATTGCGGACTTCTGGAGCCTTAAATTGTGCACTTCCAGCGACTACCGTTACCGCCGAGAGTATCCCCCAAACCACTACGGGTGGCGTGAATTGGGGCTAAACTAGATGGCTGGGACTCATGAGCAAAGCTACAGGAGATGTGGAAGCTGCTGCTCGTGAGTCCCAGCCACCTAGTTTAGCCCCAATGCGCGGCGTGGGAGATGCTCTTAGCGGTGGCGGTAGCCGCCGGAAGTGCGCAATTGAAGTCACCGGAAGTGCGCAATTTACATGTGACTGAGGCCCTGTTAGGGTGTTTTTGTGGCCGCCATAATATGTGGCTTTTATTCGGAGGATTGCCCATAATTGGGCTCTCCTTTCAATACCGGACGAGGGCTGGACGGCTTAGTTCAGTTTAGTGGGAGTTCTCTCCCTTGGCCGCACTGGAAACAGTGAGCGGAAAAGTCACGAAACAAATGACATACTTACCTATCATCATACGACTGCGTGTAGGTTTGCGTACGCTTGATGTAGGGTTGCGTAGTCATTAAACGGTTGCGTGTAGGGTTGCGTAGTCATCATACTCTTGCGTGTAGGGTTGCCTATCATCATACGGTTGCGTAGGGTTTGGGTTAGGGTTAGCGGTAGGGTTGGTGGTTACGGTTAGGGTTAGGGTTAGATGTGAACATTGTGACGTAGGAGTTCCAAATACTGGCCGACAATCTTATGCTTGTGGGAGTGGCGCCAATGAAATTCTGCCAAATATGACGGCAATAGCGAGTGGCTGGTGCCCAATCGGTGGCGAATTGTCCGTAGAACCCACAGTCCGTCGACTGTTTGGGTGTGTATGTGACTGTGCGCGATTATAGGGAACTCCTGCGTCACAATTGTCACATCTAACGCTAAACCTAACCCTAACCACGCAAATTTATCGGTTATTAAAGCATACACATAGGCAAAAACCAAAAAAAACACAAAACCCAGATTTCCCCGCAGCGTTAAAAAAAAACCCCAGATCTGGGGGACACAACCAAGCATTGGCAGCCCTGATGTCGACCTCACTGTCTTCTTTGATTCGTCACTTTTCCGCTCACTGTTTCCAGTGCGGCCAAGGGAGAGAACTCCCACTAAACTGAACTAAGCCGTCCAGCCCTCGTCCGGTATTGAAAGGAGAGCCCATAATTGTATTAATCTGTCACACTAAAATTCCCCTCCAGATTAATTATGAATAAAATATTTTATAACCATTTATAACACAAAAAGCCAAGGATGTTTTTTGTACATCTAGTTCTAGTGTTAAAAAATGATCTAATTAATGTGATAACACACACATTTAATAAATGATTATAAGAACATATTCTGATTGTTTCTGTTATCTGACACTTTGATTTACGTGGATGTTTTTCTCCAAGTTCTTTTTAACACTGCTTGTGATTTTTCATTTCATTCTGCTCCTCTTTTTAATACCATTTTGTTATGCTGGGTGAGGTCTTTCCATAGATAGACTCAGTGGATCCTTTCCGTTCAACCCATCTGGGTTATAACTCATTGATTGAGCTATATAGTTTTTTTTAAATATTTAATTAATTTGAAATAACGTTTACGTGTGTCTATAAATTATGTCTGGTTTCTATATTGCAAAGCTATAAGATTGTTGTCGGAGTGTAGTAATACTAGTAGTATTAGTAAACTATAATAAGATAGTCAAGTGCAATATATTTTTAAGTGTTGTACATTCGTAACTTTCAAACAATTTTACTTATTCATTCATTCATTCAGTAGCATGTCCCTCGCGGAACCTCGCTGCCATAACAACCCTCCGGAAAACCTTCCTATCATGAGCAAGATGTCCTGCGTCTGATACACCCATCTGGAGATCATCTGCCACATCCTGCACCCATCTTCTCCTTGGCCTTCCTCTTCCTCTCTTCCCAGGCATATACCCCTCCATTATTGTTCTCTCTAGACCTCCATGACGTTTCAAGTGACCAAAATATTTCAATTTTCTTTGTTTTATTGTCTTTACTAGCCAACCCTCTTCAATATTCAGCTCTTGAAGTATGGATGCATTTATTCTTTTCTTTACCCAAGATATTCTTAGAACCTGTCTGTAACATTTATATTCAAATGCATTTATGCGCTGTTCCGCTTGTTTAGTAAGTGTCCAAGTCTCACAGGCGTATGTTGCAATGGGAAAGATGCATGCTCTTAAAAATCTGACCTTTGTAATTCTATCTGTACAATTCCATAATTTATTCAGTTGTTTTAGTCTTTGAAGAGCAATTGATAGTCGCCGTTTAATTTCTTTCATTGTGTCACCATTGTTGGTAACCAGTGACCCAAGATATTCGAAATTTTCCACCACTTCCAATCTTTCCTCATTAACATATATTTCCTTCTCCATGGCAGTTTTGTTTGTATGCATTATCTTTGTTTTTGCTGTGTTAAGAAATAAGTTATGATTTTCACTATTTCTTTGGAGTGAGGTTAATAAGTTTTCTAAACCATTTTGTGATGTTGATAGTAATACTGTATCATCAGCACAACGAATTTCTGGTATTTCATGACCACCGATGTTTAGGGCATCATATTGTTCCTTGTTTATATCATCTCTTACATTTCTCATTATATTTTCGGCGTACAGGTTGAACAAATACGGTGACAGCACACATCCCTGACGGACTCCTTGTTTGATGCCAAACCAGTCTGATGTCTCTCCATCTATTCTGACTGCTGCTTGTTGGTCTTGATAGAGCATTTTAATGAGCTGCACTATATGTGATGGAAAGCCCATATTCCTCATGATTTCCCAAAGCTTCTGATGTTGTACACAGTCAAATGCTTTTGAATAATCCACAAAACATAAGAACAGATTTACATTAAATTCTCTACACTTCTCTATTATTAAACGCATGTTGAATATATGATTTTACTTATAGTAATTTAAAATTATACTGTGTAATTTACCATCTTTGCGGATATTTATTGTGATAATATTATTTTGGCTTAAATTATAAGATATATTAACATCTTTTACGTTAACCCCTGTTCTTATGATATAGATATAGATATAATTTACAGTTTAGTATTTGATTAGTATAGTATTAGTAACCAACCTTCCCCGTAGTTCTCAGTTCTGACCTATTCTCTAGAAGAGCGATCTCACCCAACATGTATTGTATTGTTACAGTGAAGCGTGTTATTATATTGAACTGAATGTCTCATAATTAACTTGCACCCTCTCAAACAGAATCATCTTTATAATTATGAAACCTAATGTTTGAAAGAAAACTTCTACTTGCCGTGTTGTTTATCACAGGAGCACCTCCGTCCGCGACAAAGATTTAAGAAAACCCGTGGTCCCTTTCCGTAACTTTCTGCCGATCAAACTTTTTTGTGATTTTCATATTTCGGCTTCGGTTTTCTCGTTCAAGGAAATCTTAGAATTAGGTGTTCTTCTGCCTCTTCTTCTTTTGCTGTTGTTTCTTTTTATTCTCTTTCTTAATCTTTTCTTCTTGTTCTTCTTGTTCTTGTTCTTCTTCTTCTTCTTCTTTCTTCTTCTTCTTCTTCTTCTTCTTCTTCTTCTTTTTCTTCTTCTTCTGCTACCATTTCCTTTTTCTGCAGTCTGTTATGTTATGTCTCCAACGTAGCAGTAATCTGGACTGGGGAAAAAGGGGGGAAAATGGGGGTGGGGGGGGGGGGGGTATACAGCCGGTATATTATTTTAAGAACCAATGGAGTTCAAAGGAGGTCGATAAAAGGGGGCAGTTTTAAAAACAAATTTTGAAACAATCTAATCATCCCCTTGTGGGATTCAGTTTTTCGTTAAGCCCTACTCTGGCTTTTGCCAGGGGCCGCAATATAGCCCTGCCATAAATAAGGTATAATGGCTGAACGCGGTTTCTGGGACCTCTCCACGGTGATCCTCATCCACATTGTGGCACTTTTTGTCATCCGGTGTTTATCGCTTGGGTGATGTCCTGGTGGGGTTAAAAAAAAAAGATAGAAAGAAAAAAAAATTTAAACAGTCTAGCACACGATAACCAGACCGTACTTAAAGTATAAAGCTTTTTGTAGCTCACCTGCCCGGCATCAAATTAGTATTAGAACGCCTCTTGGAGTTGAACCTAATTGTCAAAAAGAAAGAATAGATATTAACGTAACGTTGTCTTATGTCACGTCCTTTATTTGTATGATAATGTATGTTGTATGGTACAGACAATTAGTTACAGTTGACATATGTGACAAGATGAGGCAGTCCATAAATGCAACACTGGACGTCGAAGTGTCCAACCTGAAACCATGATTTCAGAGCTGACAAATTTCCTGAAATGCTTGAGAAGTATGTAGAGCGAGGCTAAACATGTTGCTTCTAATTTGTGCACTGAAGTAAACCTCTCTGGAACTCGGAGTGAAGCAAAATAAAGAGGTTCTACGGTGGAGGTGCTACAGAAGAAGCAGATTTGTCCAAAAAAGATGA